CGATTGACGAGTGAACCTTTTAAAAGATCTCTTAGTTTTGATAACTCCGGGGATGTAAGCAAAATCAAATTCAATGCCTGAAACATCAAACAAAAGAAAAAGAACAAAGACAGTCTAGTTATTAACAAAACAAAGTGAGAAATAACATAAATGAAAAGCCTGAACCATAAAGGCCCGTACAAAGCATGCATACTAAACCAATCATCTATCTGTATTAACCTTCCAACTTTCCTTGATCAAAGAAATTTGGGAAAGTTGAAATACCTGAACCATGGTTGACGCAAACTCAAGGTTATCTTCTCCCTCAAGTATAGTTGAGAGCTCTCGATAGACTCTTTCGGCATCCAAAAGTACACACAATCTCCGGACAATAAGGGCACCACGCCTAAACAAGATATATTTTGACCAACTAAATAATATGTTCTTTCCAGAATCTTTAAGACAGGTAATAAGATGGGACTAACCTTTCCAATAGAGAATTATCAGCTCGAAAATTGTGAACTAGAAAGACGATGAGCTGGCGAAAGTGTTGTGGATCTTTTGCAACACCAGCATGAACCTCCAGAACCAAGAGCACCACCTATGATATATTTTCATGTCCAGATAGTTCAATATCATATAAATTTCCTACTAGACGAAACAAAACTTATACAACATAAAATTCAACAATACACTCAGGGAAACAAAACTTACGTCATCAGAAGAATCAGATAGTGCTTTTAGCAACGTGTCAAATATGTCATTCAGGAAGCACAAGACCTGTTACAACTACCAGTTTAGCTATAAAGCGATGAACAAAAGCGTTAACTTCAAAAATATGATGCCAAACAAAAACCGGTCTCTTCACCTCAGTACGATGTTTGTTTAAAAGTGTTGATATCCAATTCAATGCTTCAATTCGGGTAGCCTCATTATCGCTTGATAGCTGCCTGGCGATGAAAACACTCGCAGATCACAAAATCAGGCAAACATTGATAGCACTCAAAAGGATCAAAAACAAAGACATAGGAATAAACTAACCTCCTTGCTACAGAGAGAATTGCACCAACTTCAAAACCATCTGAGGGTTCAACATGGATTGAACGAAGTTCTTCATTGGTTTCACGAGCAACCTTATGCAAATAAATAAACACAAAGAAAGTGAAAAGTTGCATACGAAACCTACAGTTTCCACCATTAAGGAGGAGGAATCAAACTTACCACCCTGATTTTTTCTTCTTTGTCAGATATGCAAGGCAAGATAGCTCCAAGAATATCAGCATAGTAACGCACGAGCTGGTCACCTCCAAGTTTTACAAACTCGTTTATCTACAAAAGTACAGATTTTTTATTTATTTATGAAAAACACCTACTCTGAATATATGAATCTCCTGGAATGACAAAGTAGCACCCATATAAGTAGCTAGAAGAAGCCAAGCAGAAGCATGGTCTTTTCTTCTTACCCACGTGATGGCCGTATACCGAGTGAATTCATCAGGAGACGAAGCCCTCTGCACCAGTATTTCAGCCATGCGACCGTAATCTACAGACTATCAACAGTAGCACTGTTCCAGTCAGAAATTTACCGATGGAAACTAACAAGAAATGTGAATTCTACAGAAAAACTGAGCGAAAAGGGATTTTATAGCAGGATTGTCCAATCACGACAACAAAAATCTTACTGGTGAATTTTTTATCTCTTGAAGAAACTCTGAAAGAGCGGAATCAGCCTGCTGTCGTATTTCATGACTCGAGTCGCTCAGCATATTGAATAACCCTGAAATTTATTGAAAAGTTAGTTCAGCCGAACACACAAATAACCAAAACTGAATAAGGTCATATATGTAGCTGAAGTCATCAAAATTGTAATTACCATCGAGAAAGTCCGGCAGAAACCCAAGCATATCAATATCTGGAACACTGTCAAGAACAGTGATCCATCCTACCAGAAATTGTCGAACATAAGGGTTTAAAACGTTCATCCGTTCTTTTAACAGAGGTATGAATTCCTCAATACTGAAAAATCCATACGCCAGAAAAGTGGAGCCAGGAGAGTAAGTATTCAAAACTATTAATACCACAGTTATTTTTCATACAAAGAAAAAAAAGGCTAACTTAACACACCTGAACTGATCACTTTCCGTCACAATATCCTATTCCACAATGTATAACTCTAATCAGCATAGGATTAAATCAACATACCACCCGTGTGTGAGAAAAAAATATGCTTACCTTAACAAGGCGATCTAAAAGATGAGCAGCACTTTGGACATTGGCATCAGAATCTGCTGAGAGTTTGCATAAAGCATCAAAAATTTGATTGAAGAAAATAATGAATTCGCCTCTCACAACCTGTAGCAAACAAGACAACGAAGACGGTGGTGCATCAATGCCAATAACACATAGGATAAACCAAACAACAATGGATACTACTATAGTCTTTACCTTTGCAATGTTATAGAGAGCTTCACATGCATAGTACCGAACTCGGCTATCTTGATCAGAAAAGGAGTTAATCACAGGTGGCACTATTTGCTTCATGAATAAAAAAACAACAATTAGAAAACATCCTATAAGCCAAGAAAGGAAGTACACTAATACCATAGATGGATCAACAAAATGATTGGATTATAGTAAAACATAAATGTCATTAACTGTGTTGTAATGCAAAGGTTTAAATAATTTTCAGTGCCTATATATATATATACCTCAAGATATTGAGCAGCTTCTGAAGACAAACCAACCGTTACAGCAGCTAATCCAATAAGTCCACCCTATTAAAAGAGAAATGTTGCAGTAAAACGAAAGTCCTCGGGATCTAAGTAAAAGCAAATTCTAAGCAATCAATAAAGTTGCAAACCTTTCGATGATTTGCTTGAGGGGATTTGGCAAACTCCTTAATCAACATCTCAATGACTTTCGAGATCTTGTCATGGTCACCCGCAGAAGTTAAATTCTTCACAGTATTCTCAAGCTACAATTAAAAATGGCAAAAAATAATATACCATCATCATCCTCATCATCATCTTCATCTAAAACAGAAAAATCCAAAAACCCTAAGACGCAAAGTCCAAACGCAAAGGAAGATAAACTCGGATGTCAAACCTCAAGCGCAGCATTTTTGCGCTTCTCATAGAGCTTATCAGAGAGATTGCGATGAACAGCGGCCGGAATCGCAGAAAGAGCGTCTGACATGTCAGATGAAAATCAAGAACCCAAAATCAACCTTCTCCGAGTCGAAATTTCCAGAGTGAGGAAACCAAATCTCCGACGACCTAAATCGTCTTTGCCCCCTTAAAACAAAACAAAGAGCTCCCTCCTCAAATCGGTGAAGGAAGATTCTATCTTCGCGATCAGAAAAATTTTATTTCCAAAATGGATCACAAGGACGGCGGATTATTCAACTCAGGAGACGAAAACAATCAGATCTGGTCAAAAACGAGGAACTCATCTGCGGCTACCAGTTACTCGGTTTCCCGAATTCGATTTCCGGAAAAACAAATTTCTGATTATTATTATTAATATTTTTCTCTTTGCTTTTTTTTTTCCCTACTTTGCTTCCTTAATCCTTAGTGGATATCTTTTTTAATAAATAGTAATAATCAACACACAAGTGATGTTTCCTAAAAAGAAAATGAAAAAAATATTAGCTACACAAATGAAAAGTGCGTGATCAGAGAAGTAAATGACAAATTCACCCTTTTTCTGGAGACCAGAACGAAAGGGGGTAATAAAGGTATTTCGTTAAAGTGGGAATGTGGTATATCGAGTTCGAGTGAAATTGATAAATTGTAGGTTTTTCATTTTCATTTTATTTGGCATTTTAAAAAAAATATTCTACCGTAATATGTACATTATAACTATAATCAGAAACTTTTTTGTTATTTTTTGTTAAAATATAAGAAGATTATTGCACTGTATAATCAAACTTCTTAAACGTTTCAATCATTACAATACGTTAAACACATATACCATATCCTTATTAAGTATATAATTCTTTTTTTTTTCCTATCACGTGTTAAATAATCAACAACAAAAATTTGTCAGTTCACTTAATAATCAATGAAATAATGACTCGTGCTATTTTTTTCTATTGGTGCTTGACCAAATAAGGATTCAGAGGAAATGTTTTTGGTCAAATGGTTAAAGTTTTACTTCTCAAGCTTTTTTTTTAAGCTTGTGAGAAAATAATCTCATGAACTCGTTGACAAAAAAAGAATATGTTTAAAACCTTGTAAATTAATGATGGTTGAGATTGGATAGTTGATGTGTGAAAATTTAATCAAAATCTTCAACATATATGCTTTCTGTTCGTTTGATGCAACCTGTTCTAGCATAACATTCTCAACTTGTTGGACAGAAGATGAGGACAATAGATTTTGAGTGGTGTGAACTGATGAATGAGTGATATAATGACGACGTAATTGCAATCTCAGTGCCTATTGAGACATGAACAATAACATAAGGTTTAACCGGAAGTTTTAGCTGGCACATCAAAATTTGGAAAAGATGTTTTGGTTTTGAATTCAAAACATGATAATTTTCAATGGCCAGTGATGTTGCGCAATGAAAATCTACAACATTAATGAAATCTTCACCAGTCTTGTTGATTTTTTTAATCCCAAATCAGAGATCAAATCGAAAGTTACATTAGTAAATCTGGTCCAAATAGGAATTCTAGTTTAGAGAATATTAATGTGACCATTTTTGAGCAAAAAATCATAAATGTATTTCTTCCACAATATGGCACATATGAATCTCTAAAACTCACAATATTGGAAACTTTTTGTTTTGGTTTTTACTCACACTAATTTTTATTTGTTGATGTAATTTGTTTTTCTTGGTCTTAAATGGACAACTGAGGCAAAACTGAAATTAACTACGGGTTTTTCTTAAACGGAAATGAAAATTGAGACAATTTGGAAAATAACGTATCATTTTCTTATTTTAATAAGTAATCTAATTTATTTCGCTTATTCCAATGTAATTTTTTGTTTTCCATTTATCCCACAGCCAATCAGAGCTTTCTTCATCGTCTTCTCAATAAAAATAGATCTGCTTCCATTTCTCCGCCATAGCCCGTGCTTAACAAAAACCAAAAGATAAGGGTTCATCGATTCAAACGAAGAAGCTTTGATTAAAACCAAACGAAAGGAAGAAGAAGAAGAAGATGGGAGAAAACTCCAATCGATCAGAAGCCGAACGTCTACTCGGAATCGCCGAGAAGCTTCTCGAGTCACGAGATCTGAACGGCTCAAAAGAGTTCGCCATCTTAGCTCAGGAGACAGAGCCTCTCCTCGAAGGCACCGATCAAATACTCGCCGTTGTCGACGTCTTACTCGCTTCCGCGGCGGAGAATCGCGTCAACAACCAACCAAATTGGTACCAAATCCTTCAAATCGAAGATCCAAGCCAATCCTCGACGGACAACGATCTGATCAAGAAGCAGTACCGACGTCTAGCTCTCCTCCTCCACCCAGACAAAAACCGTTACCCATTCGCCGATCAAGCCTTCAGGTTCGTCCTCGATGCATGGGCGATTCTATCTACACCCTCGAAGAAGTCCCAATTCGATCGCGATTTGAATATAATCTTCACCAGAGTAGATCTCAACGGGAGCAATCAGAGGCAGAAGAAATCAACGAGCGAGAAGATGGCTACGTTTTGGACGGCGTGTCCTTACTGTTACGGTCTTCACGAGTATCCAAGGGTTTACCAAGAGTACTGTATCAGATGCCAAAACTGCCAAAGAGCGTTTCACGCCGCGAGTATTCCGCAATTGCCTCCGTTGGTTCCTGGGAAAGACGAGTATTACTGTTGTTGGGGTTTTTTTCCGATGGGATTCGTCGGCGGCAAAGGAGGTGAAGCCGCCGCTGCCGCCGCCGTCGCTGCAACTGATAATGGGGTGACGAAATTCCCGAATTGGATGCCTCCGGTTTTCTCCTCCGGCCAAAACGCCACTGTAAACGGCGGCGTTGCAGGGGTTACTCATCCTCCTCCTTCTGCTCATGCTGGTTCGTCTCATGGTGTTTCGATTAGCTTTGATGAATGGTCAGGTGGTGCGGCGAAGAGAGATAATGGGGCGGTGAGGAGCAGCAACGACGGAGTTAACTCAGATGGAATGCCGAAGAAGAGAGGAAGAGGAAGGCCTAGGAAAAATCAGTGAAATTTGGAGAAAAAAGACAATTTTTTTAAGGCAAGAAAGATTAGGATCAGTGTTTGTTGTCTTAGTGTAATCTTACTTGGTTAATTTAAGTTCTTTATAACTTTATGCATTTTTCTCTCCTTTTTTTTTGCCTTTTTTCTCTGCATTTTGTTGTTTTCTACCTTCACCGGCTGTGTTCAGGATTTTCATTTACATCTCTTATTCGAAATCTTCTTGTATCATAGTTTGCTTTGAAAAATGATATTTTTGTGTGTAAATCTTCTAGGTTTATACAACTACTCTTAGAGTGACAATATGTTCTTCTTGAAATGCCACAAACGTTCGACACTTGTTCAGTGTAGTTTAGGTGTTTTTGTGTGTTTGGATGATGACTAATGATGGATTATCTGAAATTGTGCGGTTGAATTCTATTAATTAGATTTAGAAATTCTGTTCTGAAGTCGTGTAAATTTTAGTACTCTCAAAGTGCTTTTAGAAAAATAATTACATTTCGAGGTACCTGCCAGTGACGTCTGAAACTTAAACTGTTAATAACCACTTCTATCTGCCAATAATCTTTCAAAACTGGTAAAAATCCATATTATATGAAACTACAATGTTAACACAAATAATTAGAGATTTTTTTTTTTTGTTTTCAATGAAACTTTTACGTCGACAAGCCATGCATATTATTACCATAATTCAAGCCGAGAAATTCAATGTCCATGAATTGACTTGATGGATTAGTTAACTCCTTCATCTCTAACCAAAACTGAGGAAATTTAGTCTGGAGAGCAAAATACTATTTTCCAACACTTCATTAAAAAAAAGGAAAGAGCGTCAAAAAGATACAACTACAAAATTAAATATTAAGACGAAAATTGTTATGAAAGATCTTTCTTTTAAGTATGTCTATAAATGAAACTGCGGATTTTTATCTTTTAAGATTTCTACTTCTTGGCGATATTGAGATCGATGTGTACATACGCCAGAGAAGCCACAAAGACGAAGAAGAAAGCCGACACAAGCATGAATGGTTCTGCAAGCATGTATATTGGTTTGAATGTGTAGTACACCTGCCAAAAACCATCACATAATATTATCGTTTTGCTACAAACCATTTGTACATAAGATGAGTTTTGAATATTATTTGAGTATATCACAAGCTCAATTACTGATGCACATGTTTTTCTATTAAAACACATAATAAGAAGACCGAATTTGGTTCATCATGATTCATGATGATCTAGTCTAGGGCTGGCACAGAAGCTAACTTTAAAGGTAAATTTTACCTGGAAGGGTACGTTGTGAGTGGGAACTACATTATCCTTTTGCAACACAACCACGGTCCTTCCCACGATGTCAAGGTATGAGTATTTCACCTGAGGCGAAGACCAATATTAGATTCTTGTTGTGAACTAATAACTACAGTTGAAATTGCAATTTATGTATCTGTGTGGCACATGAGGTACCTGCAAATCCTGATTGACTGTAAAGGGCAAAACAGCAGAAGGGTCCTTTGATCCTTCAGGAAGCACGACCTGAAACGAAATCTTCCTGTGTTAGTGAGTGATTGCTAACAACAGAGCTTGGATAGAAAGACGAAATGATAACAATGAGTAGCAAATGCTAACTAAACTTACTTTGACAGTCAACTTGTTAACTATAGTTTCAACGAGCGGGCACCCAAAGGTAAAGTTCAAGTAACGTCTATCATCGGGTGCTTCAAAGAGATAGTCCTCCAATGGTACTCGATAGCCGATGATAAAAGTTGCTTTCCACCCTCCAAATAACGGGTATCGCGGCTCAAATTCAAGTTCCGACTGCAAATACCAACAATTTATTTGCTTTTGAGAGACTCAAAAAGAACAACATATCAGATCGCCCATTTATTGAGGTAGAAAGTTTGAAGTATATGTCCCTAAGCACCATTGTGAATTGATGTAACACACCGTTGAACAATTAAAGTCGTAGGACAATTTCTTAGTAAATATCACTGCCTAAATGGCCAAAGATCAAGAGAAGAGCCATACCTTTCTAAAGCCTGTACGCAAATGTGAAGTTGAGATGTTTCCGATGTCATCCCTGTAGTAGACAGAGTTAACTCTAGGAGGCAGTACTGCAAGGAGAGCATTGAAAGAGGATGCACCACTTATGGAACGTCTAGATTGATAATCAACCCTGCCACAACTCAAAAGGTCAGAATCAGCAGAATGGCATACGTATGAATACAGTAATCATGAATAGCTATTGAGAAGATAACTTTACTTCAGTTAGACAGTAACAGAGAAAAGTTGCCAACGCTGGCAGAAAATGTAACCTTAAAAATTAGTTCAAAAATATATATTTTCATATAATTTTTATAGGCAAAGTTCCAGAGGTCACCTCCTAGATAAAATAAGCCATTAGGGCCCAGTATATACCTTGAGAAAACACCCTTATGGCGAGCTCCCCCATGAGTCAACCTGTAATTCTCTGTTATCTGAAGGCTACCCCAGTGTGAAATCTCAATTTCACGCACTAGCTCCTCAACAACAGCAAACGGGCTGTTATTCTCAAAGTGAACAATAACAGGTGTGTAAGAGTATGGAGTACGATCCTCATATGGTCCATATTTTATCTCTTTTCCAGCTCTGTTAGCAGGTTCGATGCTAGTGAACGACTCTACTCTAGTACTGGGAGTCTTAAAAAAAGTTGTCTGTTGCTTAATATGATACGGTGACAGTATCACTGCACTATCATGGTAGTAAACCAACTGAGATTCTGACTGGGTTATCTCCACTGGGAAAGGTTCCAAGGAATGAGTCAATATGTATAGCACCTCAAGTTTAACAGTTTCACCCGGGCCTAAGGGGGTAGCAAACGAAACAATGAAGAATCCAGCGTCATTTGGTGCATCAGGTTGTTCACTTGGTTTTACATCTAGAGGCAAGTAAGTTTTCTTCTTCTTCTTGCCAGTAATTGCCAGGGCTTGGACCATAGCCAAATGCTTGATCTGGGTAGGTGGGAAAGCAAGAAGCATTTCTGCGACAGGATCTTTCCCAATATTTTCGACCTACAGATACAATCCAGATAAGAAAACGTTACCTTTGAATAGAATAACTTAGCGATGATGAAGGAGAAAAGGGATAATATCAGAGAATTGTAACATTTCACAACAAACCAAAGCCACTAAGTTCCGACCTTTTCAACAAGTATCACTTACTACTACAACCAACAAAATTTTACTAAAAGAAAAGGGGATGCAATTGCATAAAACATATCCATAAAGGGTTCAAATCCCAGTCCTAAGTTCCAACCTTCCAGTGTATTATCAAAAGGAATAACTACAATAAACAATTGCAGAGAGATACCTTGAGAGTCAAAAAGGCCTTCACGATCTGTGAGCTTAAATCAATCTGCAGAAAAAAAATCAACACAAAGGGGGAACATTTTAGAATCAAAATTTTAATTTCAGGAAAGACGATTCTGCAAACATCATCTATCAATTATATTTTCAGATTACTGAAATTAAACGTATCGCTGATGAAATTCACACGCAGAGAGTTGCATTATCTGTTAATGTACATATATACGATGCTTATCGACGATCAACCGTGAAGTGACCAATCACACAGTAATTCTACGAACCTTCATTAACTTGATTTTCCATAAAATGGATCCATTAAGTGAAAGCAGAAATTAATGAATTTGTGACAGAAGAGAAAGAAAATAGATCGGAGAATCTACCCTTCGCTCGGCATTTACGATCTGGAGATCCTGAGCTGAGGAAAATGCAGAAAGAGATAGGAATACAGCTACGACGACGGCTAATATCCAGATACGAGCAGCCATTTCGTCACTGCACTAAGAACAAAATCATTAACGAAAGAGCTCGGAAATGGCGAATTGATAGGATTTGGAAGATCAGAAGCAGAGAGATTTACAGACCGGTGGAAAAAAGAGCGAGATCGCAGTCTGGGAAAACAGATATAGACGGCAGAAGGATCGTCGGACGGCGAACTAATGGGGGAGGAGGAAGAATGAATGATCCGGTCAACTACAAAGTCTCAGTCTCTCTCACTTCTCTCACGATTTAGGGATGAGTCTTTATTCTTTAGGGACCTTTTCTCCCTCAGAACGATAAACGTCACGAGACTTAACTTTTTTAAAAAACTTAATGGGCTGTGAGAATTTAAGGCCCATTATTGTAAGCCCATTCATAAGGGTTAAAACTTTAAAACATCCATGAGTCTGATTGATTTGCCGCCATTTCTCTTTCTCTTTCGTTTGTCGACCTATACTTGTTACTTCTCTGGTCTCTTCAAGTTCGTGTTCTGATTTGAACAGAATCAATATTTTTTATATTTGTTGCCACGGGAGAGTTTTAAAACTTGGAAAGTTTCTTAATTTTATTTTGTATTTTTCTTCTTCAGTATTATCTGCCATGGCGATTGATTGCCTCGTACTCGGTAATTGTTTTTTCTTCTTCTTTCTTTCCTTCTGCAAGTTTCACGATTTCGTTATAAGAGTATTAATAATTTCCTTGTTGGTTTTTCTCCAGGTGCTGGGCAAGAGATAGGAAAGAGCTGCGTGGTGGTGACGATTAATGGTAAAAGGATAATGTTCGATTGTGGGATGCACATGGGCTGCGATGATCATAATCGATACCCAGATTTTTCTCTCCTCTCGAAATCCGGTGATTTTGATAACGCGATCTCTTGTATCATCATCACTCACTTGTATACATCTAAAAGCCCAGAATTTGTCCCTTGTTTACATAATTCTCTTAGCTTTTTCGTGAGATCGTGGGTTCTTAATTTTTAATTTTTTTCGAATTCTATAGCCATATGGATCATGTTGGTGCGCTTCCTTACTTCACGGAGGTCTGTGGATACAATGGCCCTGTCTACATGTCGGTGAGTTTTAGTGTCCTCAAGGTGTTCGATGAAATGTTTGAGTGGCTCATGATTTTTCAGGTAATGGTTGTTTACTCTGATTTTGTTTCCTTCGCAGTATCCCACAAAAGCGTTGTCTCCGTTGATGCTTGAGGACTACCGAAGAGTTATGGTGGATAGAAGAGGCGAGGAGGAGCTATTCACCACTGCCCATATCGCAAACTGCATGGAAAAAGGTGCTTGAATATTCAATCTCATCTAGGTCTCGTTCACGAACTAAATTCATCTGATTGATGGATATGTGACTTAGAGATGCAGTGTTTTTAAGTTGGCTTCTTTTTGTTTGTTTTTTGCATTGTTGTAGTAATCGCATTGGATTTGAAGCAAACAATTCAAGTTGATCAAGATCTTCAGATCCGTGCTTATTACGCAGGGCATGTAAGACACTCGTTGCAGTTTTAAAAGGGCTTCTTTGGACTTCTTCCTAAGTTTGTTATATTCATAGTTTCTGTATTTCTTAAAGCTTATCTTCTAATGGTCATAAGGTCCTTGGAGCAGTGATGGTTTATGCAAAGGTGGGAGATGCAGCCATTGTGTACACTGGAGATTACAATATGACTACAGATAGACATCTTGGAGCAGCTAAAATCGACAGGCTCCAGTTGGATCTTCTCATATCAGAGTATGAAAAACAAATACTATCTTGTTCACTGGTTGTTCTTTTATGTCCATACAATACTTTGATGTATGTTTGATTATGCGGCTTAGGTCCACATATGCAACTACCATTCGCGGCTCAAAATATCCCCGGGAGAGAGAGTTTCTCCAAGCTGTATGTCTACTTAATGATATCATTGCTGTCTTGTTCCCTCATCAATATGCTAAACAACTCATATATGAAACTTAGGAACTTGTTTGTTAGTTGTCTGATATCTCTGAAAAATATTCCAGGTTCATAAATGTGTTGCTGGCGGAGGGAAAGCGCTAATTCCTTCATTTGCTCTTGGAAGGGCTCAGGTCTGTCTTCTTACAGAAAAGGCTCACTGTGATAGCTTTATTCATTTCTTAGAAAAAAGAACCGTTACTTAAACTTGTCTGTGCTTCTCTTATGTCTCATTGAAATTTGTGTTTCCTTGTTCAGGAACTCTGCATGCTGCTCGATGATTACTGGGAGCGCATGAATATAAAGGTTCCGATTTACTTCTCGTCAGGTCTGTTAAATCACCACCACACAGTACTGCAGATCAATCAGCTCAACAATTGTTAGGTAGCTATCTCTATCTTCTAAAAATTAATCATATGTTTTCCAGGGTTAACCATTCAAGCAAATATGTATTACAAAATGCTCATCAGCTGGACAAGCCAGAACGTTAAAGAAAAGCATGCTACGCATAACCCCTTTGATTTTAAGAATGGTATGCCGACTAATCTTTGGAATTAAATGTTAAAATTACATTAGTACAAAAGGAACTGAAACCGCGGTATCAAAGTTCACAACTCTGCTTGCTTTGTAACTACTACCTTCACACTCTGCAGTTAAAGATTTCGATCGATCTCTTATACATGCTCCTGGGCCATGTGTTCTCTTTGCTACACCCGGCATGCTTTGTGCCGGCTTCTCACTTGAAGTGTTCAAGCATTGGGCTCCTTCTCCCCTGAATCTTGTTGCCTTACCCGGGTATTAAATCTATTGTGTTCCCCTTTCTTAGCATTTCATTTTTCTGCTACCATCTAACACACAATTATATCTCCTTTCTTCCCCCTCGTGGATCCGTTATATACAGCTATTCTGTGGCTGGAACCGTCGGGCACAAGCTAATGTCTGGTAAACCCACAACGGTTGATCTCTATAATGGCACCAAGGTTGATGTCCGTTGCAAGGTTTGTCTGCTCTTTCTTCTGATTCTCACAAGTAAAAAAAATTTGTGAACTTTAATTTTAATCTTAGAAGTCATGATGTTGTTGGTAATCAGATACATCAAGTGGCTTTTAGTCCTCACACAGATGCAAAAGGAATAATGGATCTCACTAAGTTTCTTTCCCCAAAAAACGTTGTACTCGTGCACGGTGAAAAACCCAGCATGATGTCTCTCAAGGATAAGATAACCTCGGAGCTTGACGTCCCCTGTTTCGTCCCTGCCAATGGGGAAACAGTTTCAGTCTCTTCGACCACTTTTATAAAAGCAAACGCTTCTGACATGTTTCTTAAAAGCTGCTCTAGCCCAAATTTCAGATTCTCAAACTCCTCTACTGAGCTCCGTGTTACAGACCAGAGAACCGCAGACGGAGTTTTGGTAATAGAGAAGAGCAAAAAGGCAAAGATTGTTCACCTAGATGAAGTCTCTGAGGTGTTACATGAGAAAAACCATGTGGTCTCTTTGGCTTGTTGTTGTCCTGTTAAAGTTAAGAAAGAATCAGATGATGTAGATGTAGATCTGATCATCAAACAGCTGTCGGAAAAGATCTCGGAGAAAGTGTCTGGTGCTGAGATCCATGAAACTGGGAACTGTCTGCAGGTTGGATCTTTCAAGGGTTCTTTGTGTCTGAAAGAGAAGTGTGCGCATAGAAGAGAGATAAGTAGTAGTAGTAGTGAAGCTGTGTTCTTGTGTTGCAACTGGTCTGTTTCAGATCTAGAGCTAGGTTGGGAAATAATCAACGTTATAAAACAAAATCTGTGAATCGAGATTCTTGATTTCGGTTTTGTCGTTCTAATATTTATGTAAACCTTTTTTTGTTATAAATTTACTTTTTGACCAGGATAAACCCAGTAACAGAAAAGACCAGCTTTACTACTTTACCGCCAATTTCTTAGTTTGGAAACATCTAAAGGTCAAAAGAAGGGATTTTATAGTGATTAATTAACATGTATGACTTTGTCTAATCTTCAACTTAATTACTTAAACTCTGATTAATTATAGTTAAAACCAATTTTGTTTTTTAAAATGTCCGCCATGGCTTAGCATTTTCTAGAGGAGAGAGAAAGTGAAGAAAGAATCATAAAAAAAAAATACTTTACGAAACCGATGTCTTCGTCTTCATCAGATTCCACGGCGGCGCGTGATCAACATGCGCCACTGCTCCGCCCGCGCCAAGACGGCTCTCCTTCTTCAGCCCGGCCTACGGCTCTCGCCGTTCTCTTGGGACGGATCACCGGCCACCGAGCTCCGTCGATGCTGGTGAGAGAGACGGCGGCGCGTGCTTTAGAGGAGAGACGCATCGACTGGGGCTACTCGAAGCCTGTAGTCGCCGCTGATATACTGTGGAACGCTGCTCTGGTGGTTGCATCAGCGGTTATGCTTGTCGGTACAATCGAAGAAAGGCCTAACGAGCCGATTCGGGTCTGGATCTGCGGCTATGGGTTACAGTGCTTGATCCATGTGGTTTTGGTTTGGTCCGAGTATTGGAGGAGAAACACGAGCCGTAGAGCTAGGGATTTGGAGTCCGGAGATCCTCAAGGGCTTTTGGATTACAGTGAGTATGATTATGAAGAAGACGCTGACAATTCAGCAACCTACAGGTTTTGATTTATCTCAGTTTTAGGGTTCGGACACAATCACTGTTTGGTCTTTATATGAGGATTAAATTGAATGTTGTTGTATCAGTTTTGCGAAAAGATGTGAGTCGATAAACACTGTGATATCGTTCATATGGTGGATAATCGGATTCTACTGGGTTGTAGACGGTGGAGATCGGCTTTTAGCAGAAGCTCCTAACCTTTACTGGTAAAAAGCTTTATCAACATTGCTCTGTTTTAAACTCTAACACAAGATTTCTGCTCTTAGTTTCTCAAATCTTCCGGTTTATTGCAGGTTGTCAGTGATTTTCCTGGCGATTGACGTGTTCTTCGCCATTTTCTGTGTCGTTTTGGCTTGCCTTGTTGGAATAGCTCTTTGCTGTTGCCTCCCTTGCATTATCGCCCTTCTTTATGCCGTTGCAGGAACAGTATGAACATGAATAGCCTCTCAAAACGTCAGAGATCTTTGTTGTCTTTAAAAGGACTAATCTTTTGGCGGGTTTGTACAGGAAGGAGTATCTGAAGCAGAGCTTGGTGTTCTTCCCATGTACAAATTTCACGCTTTCCATAGCAACGAGAAGAACACTACCGGAACTGGTAAAATGGTTCCTGTTCCGATCAATGGCTTATGCTTAGCTACTGAAAGAACACTGCTTGCCGAGGATGCGGTAAAGCCATTTCTATAATGAAACAAGTTGTTGTTACTTACGAATTCTGTTTTATGAAGCTTGAAAGAAGTCTTCTTGATTTCTTTGCAGGACTGTTGTATATGCTTGAGCTCATACGAGGATGGAGCAGAGCTTCATGCTCTTCCTTGCAACCACCATTTCCATTCCAACTGTATCGTTAAATGGCTAAAAATGAGAGCAACATGCCCTCTCTGCAAATACAACATTCTTAAAGGAACCACTGATCAATCTTGAAGATGAAATGCTAAAAAAGTAAAGACACAAGATTCTGCACACAAGGGAACAAGTTCCAGTTTTTCCTCAATTAAAACTCTTCTGTACATATATGTATAACAATCAAAATCATGTATCTTTTGTTAAAAGTATTTTTAAATGTAAAAGATCAGATTTTTCAAATCACCAGTAAGTTCAAGTACAGCTCACTTCATTGTCGCATTGTTTGCTGCAATCCGCATCACTAACCACTGTTGCGAGCCCTCTTGTTTGCATATCCAGAAACAAATCTGAAGCAGCGGTCATGTTTCCCTCCTTTTCATAAGCTCTAATCAAGAGATCAAAAACAGCTGAATCAGGGCTTGTTCCGCTTCTCAACATTTCATCGAAAACTTGTCTTGCCTCGACCATCAAACCTTTGCTAGCTAACCCGTTAATCAATGTCGTGTAGGTTAACAAGTCGAGCTTGAGACCCTCTTGAACCATTTTGGTTTTTAACTTAAACGCATCCACCAAATTCCCTTGCTTACACAAACCAGCTATCCAAGAAGTGTACATGAACTTATCTGGAACAAGTCCAGCCTCTAATATTTTGCTAAAGAATCTCTCAACCTCTATAAAGTCTCCTTCTTTGCACAAAGCATCAATAAGCACAGTGTACATAACATCATTAGCTTTCTCTTTACAGAAATAAGCTATAGCTTCATGTAGTTGTCCATTCTTCGCAAGCCCATCTATCAAAGTCGTAAGAGCTACAACATCAGGCTCAAAGCCTCTCTCTATGAACTCGCGGTACACGTTCAACGCTGCCTTCATGAGCCCGGATTTAAAATACGCATCCATCATTGTTGTTAGAATCATCTTATCAGGAACTAAACCACCTTTCTCCATATCTTCAACTACCTCTGTTGCCTCCTTTAGTTTACCATTACCGCAAAGGCCTGATATGATTACGCCGTAAGCTGCAATATCAAGTCTCATCCCTTGGTTAAGCATTTTGGCTAGAAACTTCATGGCATTATCAGCATCTCCTTTATGGAAATAGCCATCGATAATCGTGGTGTATACAAGAGAGTTTGGTTCCACTTTATCCTCGTGCATCCGCGAATACAATCCCTCAGCTCTCTCCATTTCCCCTCGTTTGCAGAAACCATCTAACAAAGCAGTATAAGTAACAACATTCAGAGACATCTGAACGCGTCTCATATCTTCGTATAACGAAACAGCAACCTCCAAGTCACCAGCTTTACAGTACCCATCAATCAAACAAGTGAAAGTAACAACATTTGGAGACAAAGCATCTTTCTTCATACAGTTAAAACTCTTCAACGCCAATTGTAATTCCCCGGATTTGCAGAACGTGTCGATCCAAGTACTATAAGTAACAACATTCGGGGAACAACACTTTAACATAACACCCATATACACAAAAACCTCCTTCAACATCTTCATTTTGCTAAACCCATTAAACAGTGAGTTGAAACTAACTATATCAGGTCTGCACATAAACCCATGAGAGGCTCTTAACCTCTTTAATACCAAACTAGCACTTCTGATCTCTCCATTTCTACAATGCCCATCAATCAGAGAGTTATAAGATACAACATCTGGTAAGCATCCGAATCTGGGCATCGAGTGAACGATATATTCAGCGAATTTAACTTGTCCTAGTTTGCAAACAAACGATGCGACCGAATTGAATGAAGAACGATGAGGAGTGTAACCTCTGGAGAGTAAGTAAGCCAAGAACTTGAGAGAGAGAACGCCGCAATTAGAATTGATGAGCTGATGAATATACTTGTTGCAGGTAATTGGGTCCGGTAAATTCGAGGATTTTCTCAGCCGAGAAATAAATTGAAGAGCTTCTCTGACCATTCATGGACATGGGATTCTTCAGACGATTCGAAAGTTAACAACTTTCAAAAGATTTCTAACTTAAAAACCTCAAATCTAACGGCGAGGCTTAAACCCTAGAACTACAATGTTAAAGAAGCGATGGTGGCTTAAACGACAGCGTTTTAGTGTTATTCGCTTCCTCTACAGTAATTTATGTGCTAAAGAAATTATAAATAAAGGATATTTATGATTGTCCTGCAAACCTGTATAATTTATGTGCTAAAGAAATTTTAAATCAAAGGAAATTCATGATTGTCCTGCAAACCTGTATTAAATTCGTTAGGTAACATTACGTTGATTGCTTACTAAATAAAGTGTAAGAACCAGCTAGTGTTTTAAAATGGTTTTAATACTAAAAATTTGTTCAAACTTCAAACCATCAAACAACAATACAGTGTCCCTAACCAAAATTTAACGATTTGAATATTGTGTTGCATATATAACGTATGAAGAAAGGCTCGTGACTTGTGAACATACATATAACTACAAAATCGTGTGAAGAGAAAATTGACTTTTCAAAAAGAAAAAAAATCTAATAAGATTTTCGAGTCATGAGGACGTGATTTGTAGTGTTTTTATTCGGACACGTGAGGACAGATTGGTAGGTTAATAATGAAAATCTAAAGAAATGGCCCGATTGATATTTACTTGTCATCACTAAACAAAGGGAGAAAAACGAGAAATCGTGAGAGTTTTTTTTCTTTCAAATGATTATTGTGACTGCCAGTTGACAAAAGTCATTGTTGAGTGACAAATTTTGCAAAAATGTTAAAATTGAGCTGTTTATTTTTTTTTTTATATACGAATTTAAAATTTCTGTTTATAGCTGCTAATTATTGACCAAAAATATAAACATCACATTTTTCCCCTAGAAACCATAACATATTTTCATTTTTCAAAAAATCTTTTCCAGATCAAATATTTTAAATCAGGTTGCAGGAAATGTTTCTAAAAATATATGAATACTCATTTAAAAAAAAAACAAGTGCGGTATATTTTTAGAAACATTTCCCACTGGATAATGGAGTAAAAAAAACAAACGTAAAGAGTTAGGAATTTTATCACGGAGGCATAATTGGAGTCATTAGCAAATCGGGATCCCTAAATCAAAAATAAATTCGAATTAATTAACGTAAATCTACTACTGTGTGACGACGCAATCATCTGTCTCTATTCGCTGTTACTTTATTAATTACACAGAAAAAAACCACTAAAAACTAAAAAGCCATAAACCTCTTTTAAATCCTTCCTTCTCTCCAAAACTTATAAACAAACTTCCCATTTCTCTCTTTCTGTATCTCTAAGCTATTTAGCCCAAAATTCAAACCCTAGCTTGCTCATTTGGATCACGAGTAGTCTCCTTGACGATTCAGTGCTCCGCTTCTTATTTCTACTCGATTCCTCGAGAATGTGCTGATTTAGGTATGTGCGTTTCGTTTCTGTTTGTTGATTTTTGTTTGTTCACCTTCTTGTGGATTCGGAACTCAATAGTAAAATGGATTGTTTCGGATTTTGATTTGTAGTTAGTTAAAAAGGGTTTTTAGATCGGGGAAAATGGAGGAAGGAGGATATGCGTTTGAGGTTAACAATGTGCGACCGACGGCGACTGAGTTTGGGACTTCGGCGAGGACTTCTTCGCCGCAGCTTCCTTCATTGACTAAGTCGTCTTCCTTCCGTGAAGGAGGAGGAAGTAGGGGGTTATCACGACGGAGGTCAATGAAGCCGAGTATTGACGCGGATAACGAGTTCATTACCTTACTCCATGGCTCAGATCCGGTTAAAGTCGAGCTCAATAGGCTTGAGAATGAAGTCAGAGGTACTAAATGATCCTCGATCTGTTTATTCTCTTGTTCGATTCAAGTTTCCGTTGACATTTCATTTTTGCAATTGGAAAAGAAAAAAAAAAGACGAATTTGGGTTTGGGATACGTTTTCACCTGTTATTACGTGCATGCGTGTCATTTCTTGGTTTGAACATTGACTTTGTTGCAGATAAAGATCGGGAGTTATCTGAATCCCAAGCTGAGATCAAGGCATTGAGGTTGTCTGAACGGCAAAGAGAGAAGGCTGTTGAAGAGGTTAGTTCTTATTAAGATCGACTTACCGAATTTGTTTTTGTTACTGGCAGTGAATTTACATCCTTTCCATTTTTTGCTTTAGAGGTGATTGATGAACAGTTTTGCTAGATATTATTACAGTGTTGGTACATTCATTATTGATGCTCCATTTCATTAGTTGTGATAGCTACTGTTATTCTATTCTTTCCCTATACTTTTAACACCATGTCCTGTAAGGTTGTTTGGATTTTGATTGATGCAACTGAATTCTTCACATGAACAGGACATTGAGATTATATCTTGTCATAATGTTTTTTCTTTTGTTTGGGTCGTATTAATGGTTAGGAAGAGGTTAAATTTGTGAAACACAATTTGGATTTCAAAAAATCCTTAAAATTGTTATCCTTGAGCTAGTAGTTTCTGCTCAAGTTGCATTGGAATTCTTTGTTAGGCAGTACAGGTGGTTGAACTGAAAAAAAAATCGCGTTGGTTTTTAGATCTTGGTTTGTTTTCCTATTTGTGGTCCTAGTGCTTTTCTGTTACCGTTCCTTTATTAACTTGACTTCACGCTTGTTTGGCCTGTGACCTCGTTCTATGAAGGATATACATTCTTAAGTCCTTGTTCCCCAGAAGTAACGTTATGATTTGGCTCTCACTACTGTTTTTAGCTAGATATTGAAATGCATTGTGAGGAAAAAGATGTGTAATCGTGCCAGCGGAAATCACATTTATAATGTAGTTTATATGTTGTCACATAATGACATAAATCATCTTTTTTTTCCATCTTTGTATATGTTGACGTTCTACTGTTTGCTCTGATTGCCTAAGCTTACCGAAGAGTTGGGAAAGATGTCGGAGAAGCTCAAACTAACTGAAAACCTTCTCGAGAGTAAAGTATGCTAGCAATGTTCCCTCCGTTGCTTTTCATTTCTCAATTTATTTTTTCTGGATTCTGTGCTTGATGATATCACATGCTGTCACAGAACCTTGAAATCAGGAAAATTAATGAAGAAAAAAAGGCTTCCATGGCAGCTCAATTTGCTGCAGAAGCCACTCTTAGAAGGGTCCATGCTGCTCAAAAGGATGATGATATGCCTCCAATTGAAGCTATTCTTGCCCCTTTGGAGGCTGAACTCAAGTTAGCGAGACATGAGGTATTTTGCTTCCTTTCAACCAAATATGTCTTATATTTGGCCTGTTGAGTCTTGGAACCTCTTAAAACATTGGAAATCGGGTTTTATATTCTTCATTTATAGATTGTTAAACTTCAAGACGACAACAGAGCATTGGACCGTCTAACTAAATCAAAGGAAGCAGCTTTGCTGGATGCTGAAAGAACTGTTCAGACTGCTCTTGCGAAGGCTTCAATGGTTGATGATCTCCAAAATAAAAACCAAGAGTTAATGAAACAGATAGAAATTTGTCAGGTATTGCTTTCATCTCCTTTACTTGGCGGAACTTGAATTTTTTCTACATCCTTCCTTCGTTATTCTGAGCGTGCCTTGTTTACCAATTGTTTAAACTAGGAAGAGAACAGAATTCTGGACAGATTGCACAGACAGAAGGTTGCAGAAGTTGAAAAGTTTACCCAGACTGTGCGAGAGCTAGAAGAAGCTGTTCTTGCTGGTGGTGCAGCCGCGAATGCAGTGAGAGATTACCAGAGGAAATTCCAAGAAATGAATGTAATAATTCGTTTACTCCTATAGTGCCTTGGTAGCATTGTTTTTTCCATTGTTTATTCAAATATGATTCCTTTTGCTGATCCTAACTGTGGTAATTGATCGTTTCCTTAGGAAGAGAGAAGAATCCTTGATCGGGAACTGGCACGTGCAAAGGTAAGTGCAAGCAGGGTGGCAACTGTAGTGGCAAATGAGTGGAAAGATGGTAGCGACAAGGTGATGCCTGTGAAGCAATGGCTCGAAGAACGAAGATTTCTGCAGGTCACTTTTGCTAACTATATTTTTGGGGCGTATCTTGCTGCTTCAAGTTGTGACTCATATTCATGGCCTAACTAATATAATTAGAATAAGTGCTTTTTAACAAAATCATTTTCCTGTTTTTTTTCCTTAAATAGGGAGAAATGCAACAACTACGTGACAAACTTGCCATAGCTGATCGAGCTGCAAAATCTGAAGCTCAGCTGAAGGTAAGAATCTTTGCTACAAGCCCTATCTTTAATATGTTCTTTATCAAGGCTTTTAGTTAGAATTGGTGCTTTTGCCTTTTTCAGGAGAAATTTCAACTGCGGCTTAGAGTCTTAGAAGAGAGCTTAAGAGGGCCTTCAAGCAGTGGCAACCGAGCCACACCGGATGGAAGAAGTATTAGCAACGGGCCTTCTCGGAGACAATCCCTTGGCGGAGCTGATATAATTCCAAAACTGACCTCAAATGGATTCTTCTCCAAGAGAACACCGAGTTCTCAGTTTAGATCTTTGAATGCGAGTGCAAGTACAGTATTGAAGCATGCCAAAGGAACATCAAGGTCATTCGACGGAGGCAGCAGATCTTTAGATAGGAGTAAACCGCTGATAAACGAACCGGTGTCGAAGTTTCCAATGAACCACCAATCTTCTGAAGGAACCAGCGAAGGCGAGTCACCTAATTCATCAAAACAAGGAGATTCAGAGAAGCCGGCAGGAACAAATAGTGATAGTGTCCCAGGAGTCTTACATGATTTGCTTCAAAAGGAGGTGATAACATTAAGAAAAGCTGCTAACGATAAAGATCAAAGCCTAAGAGATAAGGACGAAGCTATAGAGGTCAGTTTAACTTTTGCCTTTTCCCGGAAAATGTTTTTGCTTCTATATTTTATAATATTCTGAGTGAGATAAAAAAAAAATGTGTGCTTAGATGTTGGCGAGGAAGGTTGAAACGCTAACAAAGGCGATGGAGGTGGAGGCAAAGAAGATGAGAAGAGAAGTAGCTGCAATGGAGAAAGAAGTTTCAGCCATGCGTGTGGATAATAAAGGATCGGATAATAGAACGAGACGTCTCTCTACTACCAACTCAAAAGGATCTTCAACAACTGCACATTTGCTTTCTGGAAGGTACTTCCATCTTCCTTTTTTTATTACAATTTTTTTTTTTGGTAAGTATAGTCATCCAATATGAGTCATGAGTTAGTGGTTAAGTGAGTTTTTAACTTATACATCAATGTTAATCGCATAATTGGTGTTTAGCAGAGGCTCAGGGAGAATGGGGATGACAAGGAGCACCCAGTGATCGAAGAAGTAACCAGAACACACAAAAAAAAAGGCGAATCCCACGAGCAAAATTTCAGTCCAAGCAGTGCTCAATGTATTGAAGGATGATATATAAAAAAAAAGCTTACAGATGTAGAACTTCCAACTGGGGAAGTTTGTGTGCTTCTCTAACATAGTAAGATTTCAAAGGTAAAAAAAAAAAGGTAGAGAAAACTGACTTTTATCTTCTTGGGCTATTGTTTAAGTAATGAGTTATTTTTTTTTTCTTATATATATAGAAATGAGTTAGGCTTGTGTTTAAGTAACTATAGCAACTGAGCTTAGTGTGTGATCTGTTTTCTTTCTTTCTCTCCCTTTCTTACCTTTGTCCAATTTTCTTATAACGTTTATACATACATCCGGTATCAAAAACAATTAAAGCTTTATCTCCTTTTTGATTGGAGGATAATGATTAAGGTTTCTGTAACTGATTTTAATTTTAAATATTATAATTTGACAATAGTCATAGTATGTAAGGTGGCCAATGATTCTATGTATTTTATTAAATAAGAATTTGTTTGTAAAATTTAGCCTTCATTGGATGATATATATAGTTTTTTTTTCCGCTAAAATATATATATATGGAAGGAAGATCCAAAGGGTGAGTTGTATTGCCAACACCTGATTGATTAAAGAATTACAGTATGTAAAACGGGAATATGTAGTCAACAACATGTGCAACATACTTCATTAGCTTGGAATGGTTAAAAATTACATAGTTAGACCAATTCCAAGCTTTTTGATAGAATGCAACAGAATCCAATTATTAAAAAAAAAAAAAAAAAACTTTGTAAATGCTTTGAAATCAAACATTCATATTCAAACATTCAATAAAAGCCCAAGTACAAATAAAAGCCCAAAATATGAAAAACAAAATAATAGCCCATAGGGTTGCAACTTGGGTCTGTGTTCCCGATGCGATCTCTGTCTCTCTCCTCCGCCCGTGACCCGGTGACCGTGAGAGCCTCCGCATCGACATCGACACTTGGTGGTACAGAATAAAAATTGTTCTAAATAGATTCTTGAGGGGTTTGGAAAAGCCTGAGGAGGAGCAAGGATTTGATGCGATCATTGACTGAGGACCTGAGGTACTCACTGTGATTAATTTATTTGTTATTGTGATTTTTTTATTTGATGAAATCTGTAATATCCAGATAGGTGTAATGAAGGACGATGGCTCCCCACAACTGCTAGGCTTGGATTTGGTAAAGACAAATTCAACAAGGGCACGACGTACAAGCCGGTTTGGTTGTATAACTCATCTGAATTCGGCCTAGACAACGTAACCACTTGTGAAGTTTTCGACTTTAGTACCAACGCTAGGAGGCAACTTGTCCCTGCTTCTCCTTGTCGGATTCTTGCTTACCAGAGGCCTGTGTATTTCGATGGCTCTCTTTACTGGCTCACCGAGTGCCAAGAAACCAAAGTCGTATCTTTCCATCTTTACTCTGAAACTTTTCAAGTCATCTCTAATAAAGCTCCGTTTCCACATTTACCTGACCATTGCAACGTCACCATGTGCGTCCTTGATAACCGCTTGTGCGTATCCCAGATCTTCTGGCCAACTCAAGTCATATGGTCTTTTGATTCTTCTTCAGGCTGCTGGACAGAAATGTGTTCAATCGATCTCACCGAAACTGTTTCTTGGTAAGGTTTACTTGCAACCACTGGTGATTCATGATCTCCATACCAATTCTTTTGAATTACTCTTCAAACCTGACGAAAATACCATCGGACATTGCGTTTATTATTTCGAAAGTTTATTATCTGTTTTATCACATTAACTAACTTGTCAATCAATCATATGTGTGTAATTTCAATAAATTTTCATTAGCTTTCTTTTCATCAAATCCAAACGCACCATTCATTGACCACATAACCAAAATCTCAAGATGTGTATGAATCTAAAAAAATAATACTTTTTAAGTTTGCGTGATCATAGTCTCCTTGAAGGCATCAAAAGAGAGTCCCTTTCGAATGTAATGAATCTGTGAAGGATCAAAAGGACCTTTCACTCTATCTATCTGTTTAATCACTGCTCTCTCCGGCAACACGCTTCTCGCCGGATCCACCGCCGTCTCTCCGCTCAGACACGACGAAAACCCTTTGAAGATGAGAACTTCCACTTCTTCGTCGTCAACAATGGCCGTCACAATAAGCGCTTCTTCTCTACAAGACTGGCTGTACAACTCCAGCATCGCTATCTCCTCGTTGTACCCGTACGATTCATCATCTCCATCTCCTTCTCCTCCGTCGTCTCGCACTCTTCTCCGAGCACCGCACCGGAACGTCTTCGAAGCTCTCGCCGCCACCGGTGCTGGTGGAACGGTGAAAAGGGTATTCCGGTCATTTGAGTTTGAGAGCGAGGTTATTCTGGTCAGTCGAGCTCTCTGCCGGAAAATTCGCCGGAAAACGAATAATCCGGCCATACCACCGCATGGATTCGCCGACGTGACAAGCATTATAATTTGACAAGAGTCATAGTCTGCGACTGTGAGGTGACCAATGATTATGTATTTTCTTGGATAAGATTTTTTTTTTGTAGAACTTAGCATCCATTGGGCCTGTTTCCTGGGCATTGGGCCTAGTTTTTTCATAGTATATTTTTTTCGTTGTTTTTATAATTAAAATGGAAAATAAAAAAATGGTTACATTTTGACAAATAAGGGTAGTACCATGGAGATAAACTACCTCTGAGTGCCACTACTACAGCTATTAACAGTCGCTTTCCATGCCTCTCTCTTCAAACCAGTGGCTACTTACTCAACACTGTACGGTTTCAATCATTTCTTCTCTCCCATTTCTCTCTTTCCTCTCGTCCTTCTTCTTCTTCTTCTTCTTCTTCTTCTTCTTCTTCCCCAAAATCCCTTTTCTCAGCTCTCTCGCTAAGGTCTTTTTCAATTTTCGTACCAAAGCTGAATCATTTGCTTAGCGAGTTCGAAAGGCATAGTTTTTTTTCGGTTTGGAAAATGACGATCAGCGATCAGTTTCCTTCTGGGTTAAGAGTTCTTGTTGTAGACGACGACACTTCCTGCTTGAGAATTCTCGAGCAAATGCTTCTTCGTCTCATGTACCAAGGTCGATTACTCTCAAAGTTTCATCCTTTTTTTCCCCAATAAATTTTACTTATTTTTTCTTTTCTAAATTCTGTTTTTCTTTTGTTTGCAGTTACCATTTGCTCACAAGCCGATGTTGCTTTAAACATTCTAAGAGAAAGAAAAGGCTGTTTCGATTTGGTACTAAGCGATGTGCATATGCCTGGCATGAATGGATACAAACTTCTCCAACAAGTTGGACTCGAAATGGATCTTCCTGTCATAAGTAAGATTCTTTTATAATTGTCTCAAAGATTTGAACTTTTTTTTTCTTTTATTCAGTGTTTCTTACACTTGCTCTGTTTTTGTTTACCTTTCTCTAGTGATGTCTGTTGATGGAAGAACAACGACAGTCATGAAAGGAATCAACCATGGAGCTTGTGATTACCTCATCAAACCAATTCGTCCTGAAGAACTCAAGAACATTTGGCAACATGTAGTTCGCAGAAAATGGACAATGAACAAAGAGCTTCAAAGAAATTCCCAAGCTTTAGAGGATAACAAGAACAGTAGCAGCAGCCTGGAGACTGTTTTCTCGGTTAGTGAATGCTCAGAGGAAAGTAAACTTAGGAAGAACAAGAGAAGGGTTGATAGAGAAGACAATGAAGAAGATGATCTTCTTGATCCTGGAAACAATTCGAAGAAGTCACGCGTTGTTTGGTCGATTGAATTGCATCAACAATTCGCCAGTGCCGTAAACCATCTTGGAATTGAGAGTATGATCCCTAAAACACTATTGCTTATAAGGTCAAATTGATTGAAAATTTTGTTGCTTGTGAGTTTGTTTCCTGACCAGGATTCTCCTATTGTTTCAGAAGCTGTACCAAAGCGGATTCTCGAGCTGATGAATGTGCCTGGTTTAAGCAGAGAAAACGTCGCTAGTCATTTACAGGTTTGTTTGTTTGATTAAATGAATCTTTCTTGTTTTAAGAGTCTTAAGGTTTTTTTTTACTGAATCAATAATTGCAGAAATACCGATTGTATTTGAGGAGATTAAGCGGCGGTGTAGCTTCGCAGATTAGGGACACCGAGTCTATGGAAAGATATGAAAACATTCAAGCTCTGGTTTCCTCAGGACAGATACCTCCACAGACATTAGCTGCATTGTTTGGTCGACCAGTAGACAATCATATGTCTGGTGGTTTTGGAGTTTGGACACCTAGTGGTGGGTCTCAAAATGGAAACTTTTCGATTGATGTATCATCCTCTTCAATGGCCGTGGTTCATGGACTATCTTCCTCTGCAAATTTAAGGCAGCAATGTGATGGTTTCAAGTCAAACAAGGGAATGGATCACATGTCAATGAAGAATCTTGGATCTTGGAAAGGCCTCCAAGACAGCGAAAGAATCATCGATAATGAACACCATGGATGGCTTTAGAGGAGAAGGGCTCGTATAAGTTCTGCAACTGTTTCCTTCACATCTTCAGAATGGATTAAAAAAAGTCATAAGAAAACTTGTGTGTCGGCAAAGTTAGGGTAAGTGTAAGAAGATGACGAGCTTAGGACAAAGTCTTGTATTGTATTGCTAATGCTAATGCTATTAATGGGAAAGTAATGGTATCTTTTTAATCTGAAGATTTGACTATTTCTGAACATAGAAGCTTATAGATATCTCTCAACAGTGAACAACCATTGAACGCAAACACCTTTCTCAAAACGCAGGGCTTTTGTTGCAATTTTTATTTTATTTTGGGGGTTTTTCTTTGTCACAATAAGTTTTTACTTCTACCGTGATAAATAACCCACATGGCATGCAACAAAAGAAGTTAAAGCATGAAAGGCAACATTAATTAGTTGTGTTATATGGTTAATGTTGCACCACTTTAGCCAAACAAAACGCAGCAGCTGAGGCAATCGCTCCTATAAAGGCGGTTTCAAACGCGCTTCTAAAGGGTTTGCTGCCGGTGAAATGCCCTTTTCCGTAGCCAAATATGAAGAGAGCGAGCAGCGTTATAACCACAGACGCTACTACCGCGTCCAAGGCTTGCGGTATGAACATGTACGGAAACAGCGGTACGAAACCGCCAAGAACGTAAGCGATTGCAATCGTGAACGCACTTTGTAACGCTCTTTTTGGATCAGGCTTCTCTAGTCCCAGCTCAAACCTGAGTGAAACAATCAATTTAACTTCAAAATTTAACGAGTAACGTCTCACCTCTATAAAAATGCATAAACGTTTATTAGTATGTAAAAATTTGGTCCGAAGAGTGTAATTTGATAAACCCATTCAATAAACTCTTAACCAAACAAAAAAAAAACTCTTAACCGAACCGACTTCATATAGACATCGAACCGAATGAAAACATAATAATTTCCAAGGGTTACAAATGTTTGTTTAAAAATGAAATCCACCAAAATCATATCAAACCGAGTTTGCATGTAAGTTCAGTTTCACTTCAAATATTTTAAGAACAAAAACTCTCAAAAGTCACTATTTTTTGAAATTGGAAGTTGGACCAAATAAAGAATCTTGCCCACACCTGGAAAGTATAATCCCAGCTTTTGCAGAAAACTAAAAGTTTCCCTCGGTTTTCTACTTAATAGTAGAAAAATCCAACGTACACTCAAAACAATAATGCTTTATTGATCATTTAAACCAAAGTAATTAATCAAATTAAGTGGACTAACCTCATCATAAAATCAAGCCATGCTTGAGGATTCTTACGAAGAGCATTAACAACAGGTGAATATTCATGTGGCTCTATTCCATACTGTGCCAGAATCTCTGCCACCTCAGCTGCCTCTGTTTATATCCATTGTCGTAAACTGTGTTACTTACACCGGAAAAACTCCTCCGGTGGAGGATTTAATTATATTGAGTCAAAATAAGTCTTACCAGTTTCAGGAACGGCTACGATCTCTTCTTGTTCTCGTTTCATCTCTCTGGCGTAATGATCCGCTTCGCTCTTGGCCGCTAAGTACCTAAATTTATATTTCAATTTTTAATGTCAATAAGCAACTAACGAATTTTAACGGAGATATATTAATTCTTTGTAACACATATGATTATGATTAATGACATATGTCTACATGCATAACATAATTGTAAACCATCACTGCATGTTGCATAATGTTTTTAAGTCCTAAATAAACTCCTAGATTTTTTTTCTAAAAATCACAGTTTTATTTTTAAAAGACAAAGTTTATAAAGTCCCTAATATAAAGTAATAGTAAAAAGTCGCAGTTGCAACCAAGCAACCCATTAATTTTTAAAAATGTAGGACTATTTTTCTCAATGTATATGACTAAGAAACTCTTTTCTTTTGTAGCCATTAAGTCGAAATTTCAGTAAGTGTTATTAAAGTGTAAATAAAAATGAAACATGTAAATATCTCTTTAACTACATCTAAAAGAATGCTAACTAAATGTTTATACCCACAAGTATAAAAAGTAGGAGTATTGTTTCTGATAATTATGCTGTCATGCACTAAGTAGCAATTAATCAACCATATCATTGCATGTAGGATTTGTTTTTTCCATTTACAAAAGAGTAATCAAACTCAATCTTCTAGCCATTTAAAACGAAATTTACTGGAGAAGTTTACGTCAAACGTGTGAATAGAACGAAATAAAAGTTTATGTGTAATTAAATTCAAAATTAACTAACCCGCCGAGTCCCATGGAGATAGCGCCGGCGGCGACTTCGGCGATACCGGCGGTGAGAACAATAGAAGAAGAAGCATTAGCACCGGAGAGTCCGGCGGCGAGTGCAAAAGGAACGGTTAAACCGTCGGAGACCCCGATGATGATGTCACGGACGATTTCACCGGCGGTGAAGTGTTTCTCGGTGTGATGATCGAGAAGTGATTGCTTCTCTGGTTCGATAGAGATCCTCGTGATCTTATCTTCCTCCGACGACATTTGAAGATGGAATCTTTTTCTCTCTCTCTCTCTCTTTGGAGTGGTGAAGTGTGGAAACTACATGATATCTGTTTGTGTTTATATACACGCGAAGAACGAGGGTAATATCAAACCGTTTGTTTCTTTTTTATTTTTGGTTTTCGAATTTATCTCTTCCCATTTATTTCATTTTAATATTATGAATTTCATATTTTATAATTATTTATTTATAACCACTTATCATAAAGCTATTTAAAATGTAATTTATGTATTTCTACAAGTAATTACCATAAGTTTGAACAATATTTGTTAAATTTTACCTTAAGTCTGCCACATGGCTACACCAGAGATCACACAAATCTATAGCTGTTAAAACTTTAAAGTTTGACTACACTAAGTTTAAATATGCCTAAATTATGTACTATAATAAAATTACACAATAAAGACTTACTAAGATTTTAATTATATAAAAATATGGTTTTTTAGTTTAGTTTTTGGGAAAATAAAAACTCATCAAAGCACATATATATATTCATATTTTTTTCTTAAACCAGAAACCAAGCTTTTAATATAATAATCCCATTCCCATTAAAATACTTAAATGTTTATAATTTGTATGATACGGAACTAGAAAAGTAAAGTGGTCTAAAGAAATAAATCTCATTATGTTTTATTCAGTTAATGAGATTATGTTTTATGTATGTGTGAGCATGTGATTAACCGATAATTTGCATAGTTTATATTACATCGATTACTATTGGGGGTTATTAAACCAAAACTCGCGAGTCAAGAAAAAATATTACCTAACTACCAGTCGGGATAGTGCATAGAGACGAGTTAACACTACAACGTCTAGTGCGGCTTATAACGTTGGTGTCTATATATTGCATTGCATATTGGTCACTTGGAAAATTGAATAATTCGTTAGTTTTTGTGACAATTTTAAGTTTTAACTATATGTGTTATTTGGTTTGGTTGGCAACCGTAAAATCATCCCAACAGTAATAATTCTACCAAATTTTAGCAAAAAACAAAAAAAAAACAAAAACTAATAAATATGTAATCTACGAAGGCCATTTATAATGAATGACGTAATCATAAATATTTAAACTGAACTTATACTTTTCATTTGTAATTATCATACCAATCACCAGTCATGTTTCTAAAAAAAAAAAAATCACCAATCATTTTCAAAAATTAATGTTTTCTTTTTATTTTAACCACTCATAATATTTTTAAGCGAACCATCTCTTTGTCTTTTTGGTCAACATCGATCCCTGAACCATCTCATATGAGTTAATTTTAACCGCTAAGTCTTTTGACTTCATCACCAGAACTTTATTCATCGATAATTAGATCCCATCCTTTGCGTTCCACACAAGTTCGATAAGACAAAGGGAAATAGTTATCGAGTTTTGATCAGAATTCAGGTAAAAGTGCGCGTGTTTGCCACATGCATGTCTACAACGTGAAGCCAGGTATGTATTTTATACGTGGACAACACACGAAACTTATCTGTAGAAAGTTATATGTGAAAGCTACAAATCCTTACAGATTACAGTATGAGTCTGGAAAAGAATAACGCATGAGAAAAAAGTTTATTTACATGAAGCCATATGCAACGCTCCAATTCACACCCATTCATGTAATTCTTGTTTAACTTTTCCGAGCATTCTCGAGGTTATTAGAAACATTCAAAGTCTCATGTGACATAAAATTAACATTTAAGAAGAGAATATCCAAACTTATGTGATTTTGTTGAATAATAATTTTCATTATTAAAAATATAGTTTGGTTTTTATAATTTGATTGAATTTTAAACTACTTCCAAATCTATCAACAATTAATTCATGATCTTGTCAATTTTGGAAAACAATGAGTCAAATTTAAAAACTAACAAATTTAAAGAAAAAGGTTTGAAACTGGAAAAGTAAATTTACTATTGGCTATAATTTTTAAACTTAAAATTTTATTTTGACAGTTATCATTTTATTTTTGAAATAGCTTATATATCTATACGCTATACCCAACTGCAAGATAAACATGTGTGTTTGTGAATGACTATATTTAACTATGAGAAAGATAATTTATTAGTTTGTCCAATTATCTATTTATAAATATGGGCCAACTTAAAATAGGCTTGGTAATTATCACTCAGCCCAATAAACTTAAAGCTTCCTCTCGAAACCTTTGTATCTACTGGTTTTCAAAATTCTCCTAGCTAATATTCAATTCTTTTTCCCAATTCACCATTTTCTTGAATATATATATTAAGCGACTTGATAAATTCAAAAAGAATAGTTGTTGTTTCTCCAGTAGTGTAATTAGTTGATGCTTCAAATTCAAGGTTGTACAATTTACGTTTTGATCTTTTGACTTGTGCTTTGGTGCAATTTTAATTTTGAAATTGTATAATCTCGTCTTCGATTCGTTATTGGAGAAACATTTTGCGTGTTTATGGTTATTTTACATCTTCTCACACTCGAACCAACCAAAACCGAGCTTTTCCAAAAATCTGGTTTACAAAAACCAAATGAGACCACTACTCCGTGAAACCAAATTTTCAACCGAAACCAAAACCACGTAAAACCGGATCCACTCTTGCTTTGACAGTAAATGACTAATGAATCCAAATCACATAACACGACAAAACAGTACGAGATTGCTCACAACATCGCCGCCATAAGGGTAAAAACGTCAATTCAATAAACCTTTTCCTTCCCAACAAATCGGCCAAGGTCACGTGACACTAATGATGAGAAAAAACCTCTCTCTCCTCTCTCTCTCTTTCTCTTCTCGTCGTCGTCTCGCAAAGTCCCTTTTCAGTCATGGCATTAACCGTATACGACGCCTGCACGGAGAGGCAAAAACCCACCAAAATCCTCATTATTAACGACTTTGCCACCCCTTCTTCCTCCTCTTCTCCTTTCTTAAACCTCTCCGCGACTTTCCGAGATAACATCAGATTGTTTCTCCGTGACTACGCCGAGAAAGAAGATTACACCGTCGATGGCAACGCCGTCTCCTGTCTTTTCCTTGCCAGCGAAGCTACCGGCGTCGTTTTCCCTCTTTTCATCATCGAAGAACAAATCTCCGACGATTCATCTTCTAATCCTCTCTGCGATTTCTGTAGATGCGTTGGTATTTAAACCATATCTCACTACATATCAATCGTTTAATCTCCAATCTAAAACCCTCGATTAATTTCTGATTTTTTTTTTCTTTCCCGATTTCGTTTATCCACGTTTTAATTAGGTTGCTCACCCAAATCTCGTGATATGTTCTTAATCGTTTCTTAGGGTTCTTTTTTTTTTTTTTGGATTTCGAGTTTTCTCATGATGATTGTAAAATCTGATGTTACAGGTTGGGGTCATCATTATGTATCAAAGAGAAGATATCATTTGATAATCTCGAAGAGTAATGAATGGAAGAAGCCATTAACGAAACGTAGCTTGAAGGTTACTTCTCATTTGATGCATGGTGTGATTCACTGTAATGGCTTTGGTCACTTGCTCTGCATCAACGGTGGTGATCATGTCTCTAATAACTATCTCTCTGGTGGTCAAATCATGGACTTTTGGGACCGTCTTTGCTCCACTCTTCACACAAGGTAAAGAGATCATTAACATATTTCTCTTTACTCACTCAAGCTTATTGCTGTTTTACCAAGATTTGATATACACTAATTAATGGTAGCGAAGAGTTTCTTTATTTTTTGTTGGTATGAATAGTGAAGAGTTATTTTTTTTTTTTTTGCTAATTTTAGGAAAGATTATGGCGCGCATTTGATGTTATAGGAATTCTACAATGAAAGTAAGTTAGGACGAATACATTTTGCCTAATCGTAAGAGAGATTGTATCTTTGTTGTTAGAAATTTCACGTTGGTTTAGGACGAATAATTTTTTTTCTTCTAGTTATAGGGATTATGGCATTTCCATGTCGACTAGTAGATTTAAGGAAGATAGTAACATTGGTGTTTGAAATTCTACATCGAAAATAAGTTGGGATGAAATTGATAGTTTACTAATTATAGGAAAGACTATACATTGATGTTAGATATCTCACATTGATATGAACTAATCTATATATTGCATGCTCATTTTTGAGATAGAATCACAATTTTATTTGAGAATTAAATCTTTGTTTTTGGCTTTCCAATATAAACTATTTTTTTGATTAATTTTAAGCAAAATTTTGTGTTTTCCATCCCTGATTTTGAAATTCGTATCAAGACGTGTTGTCACCGATTTATGATTACTAACTATGATACATTGTTGTTTCATTTGATGATTTAGAAAACAAACTTCGATTCTAAAGATTGCAAACCATATAATATAGGTAAATATTTATGGATTTGAGAATGTAAAGTGAGTTGAATGAGTAGTGTTTATGAAGTTGTTAATCAATGATTCTGTCTTTTTGTAATGGCTTCAGGAAGATTTCATTGGAAGATATATCGAGGAAGGGATCGATGGATCTGAGGCTGCTCCATGGTGTTGCATATGGTCGACCATGGTTTGGAAAATGGGGTTATATCTTCTCTCATGGAAGCTTTGGGGTCACAGAAGAACAATATACTCGAGCTATTCATATTCTTAGCTCTATAGAAGTTGACAAGATAATGGAAGATTTCGCTGGAACAAAAAAAGAGAAAGTGATGAAGATTATGATCGGTTTTTACAGAGAATCCAGCGAAACCCCGTTGGTCACTCTCTCTGATTTGCTTCGGTTCATGCTTGCTTTCAGTTCCAAAACTCCCGTTGAGAAAAAGACTGCATTGGCACTAGTAGCAATGTCTTTAGATTCTGTTTCAAGTCCAAGTTTTGGAGACGATGAGGACACTGAGGAAAGCCCTTTTTACTCATCCCCTGATCAGGAGTTAGATAGTAACGAGAATGATTCTGCCGCAGACAATGTCCTAAGTGATGATGATATTCCAATCGCTGACATAAAACCCCCTGTGTATGACTCGTTTGATGCTTTGGCCAAGGGAGAATACTCAAGATATCCAGGAAGGAGGTTGAATGAGGCAGCACAAGCGGTTCTCAAAGTATTTGGAGAGCGAAAAAGCATCATTACTCGCCAAGAGCTTCGTGATGCTGTTAGAAATAGCATTGGTGATACAGGGTTGATTGATTTCTTGCTCAAACACATTGACAAAGTTCTGATAGGTGACCAAATAGTTCAGAGGTTCACAAACCCGGAATCACGGATGTTACAGTTCTCCCTCCGGAAAATCAATGCCCGTGGTGGTCTAGATCAAGATGCGAAAAAGAGAAAGAAAACGAAACCGCGTGATGCCAATGAACGGACATCTACCACTCCTGGACTGGATCCGTATGAAGACATTTTCTATCTGTATAAGAATCTCTTGTTAACTTATCCAGATTCAGACATATACAGCGATGCCTCTGAGGATATCTTGAACTGCAAGAGCTTTGTGAAAGAATGGCCTTTACCGTCTTACCAGGAACAGAACAGTTTGACAGTAAGCTGCCAGGTTTTGCCCAATCATCAAGAACTACTCAGAGACTTCACCAGGCAATTACCTCCTGGAGAACTCGTGATTGTTCCTAAAAACGCAACGATCAGAGAGCTTAAATCTGCGGCAGAGAAAGCTCTGAGGGATACTTACTGCATAATGGAGAGATTTGAAGTGTGGGAGATCAAAAGCAAAGAACTTGAGAAGATGGATGAGACTTCTTGTCTGAAAACAGAAGGTGATAAGAGTAAGACAGAGTTTCTGGTGACAGGGTTTGGTCTGGATACAGGGACTGAGCTAAGGTACGAAGCTGGTTTCGATGACTGGATTGTTAACTGCAAATGCGGAGCCAGAGATGATGACGGTGAAAGAATGGTGGCTTGTGATGCTTGCAAGGTTTGGCACCACACAAAGTGCAATTCCATAGAAGACGATGAAGCTGTGCCTTCGGTGTTTCTCTGTAACAGGTGTTTTGGAGATCGCATGAGATCCAAGAAACGCAGTCTCGCCGTTCGTTAACTCTAACTTGCGCAACAAGTCAGAACGTGTTGCGGGAGCATCTTTTATTTTTTCTACATATTTTAAAACTTACTTATTGACCATCTTATTTAATTATTGGTAGAAGTTTTCAAGCCGTTGATTATTTTAGCTTTAGTCCTTAGATCAATGGTACGAAGCCAAAAGAGAAAGTATCTGTATATATTATAACGCATTTATATATATCTCTCTCCCAGATAATCACTATTTTGCTCCAAACATTGGATTAATAAAAACAAAAACGGTACTTAACTCAAAACTGAAAAGCATTCTTTCAGAGAAGGTATATGGTTCATAATGTACTTTTTTTTTAATTCAGTTTCTGGTTATAATATTTCATTTTCATCAATATCAATGTTACCATTTTGCTTATTACGATTTCATGAGTTGTATATACTAACCGAATAATTAAGTTGTTACATTGATCTACTTGGATGTCCTAATCTGAATACATATAAATATGAACAATATGATCAACTTAAAATTGTTTGTTGATTTTTTACAATTTTTTTTAATATTCAGTTTTGTAATTACCAAATTACATAAAACAATGCTTTGTAATCGTAAAAAAAAATATTTTGCAAAAAGTAGATTTAATGTGGCATATGATATTGCCAGGGTTAACAAATGTATTGTAATTGTAAATTGAGTACGTAGATAATATTGTACAACTTGAGTATATAATAGTGAGGATGTATAAGAGAGAGATGAATACATGACATGTGGAACATGCATAACATTGAGATTAAAAAGCACATGCATTATTCTCTATTGCTCCAATCTCTCGTCTCCTTCAGTTAAATATGTCATATCCAATTGGCTCGCAACATTCCTATTTTATTCTTTACTTTTTGTCTGCCATAATCATACCCAATTACTAGTTTTTTTTGTATTACTTTCTATTGTGATTTAATTTAATTTAAAGTGGATTTTGCTGCCATAACATTATGACCATCATTCTTCTTTTTTGTATCATTGATTATCAATAACAGTAATCCACATAAGTAGAAAATGCTATATGGTTAAAGATTTTATGTTTTACAGAGTTGGTTTAAAGGATAATTATAGTCTTGTTTAATGTTTTTTGTTTTATATTATTTTGTTCGAGACAAATATCGCGACAAAGGTCTCTTGACCCAATAAACGCGCCATGTTGACTAATGAGGCCCAGGTGGTCAATAATCAGTATATATATATATATATATCTTTAATTGTTTTCTAAATGATATTTTTTTCACTAAACAATTCATTCATTATACATGTATCTGATTAAAATACAATACTTGCTGGGTCTGATAAATTTCATTTTTTATATGGTGGTAGATACAGTCTGATTAGTTATTTATTTGGTCACCATTATGTTTATATTATATTGTCTTCAATTTCAGATATCTTTTAAAAGAAATTATAGCATGCCAAAATATTGATTTAAAATTTTCGTATAATAATTGCGGTTATACTAACACTCCAAAAATTGAATAAAATTCACTCGAAAAAAAAATCGCAGTTATACTGTATTATACTAACGTACTTCTTCTTTGTTTTGTCAATCAGTGCTTCTCTCTTGAAAGTTATGAATTCTTAACATTAGTTTATTTGAATATATTATCATAAATAATAAAGAGAGGAAATGATAATGATGGGTAATACTATTTTAATTGGAAAAAAGCTGTCTGTTATAATAAAAAATAAAAATAAACAGGCTGCCAGAGACCATTATCGTGATCATTTGATGTAATGTATGCTTATATCTTCGTCATTACCAGTTTTTCCCTAAACAGCATTAAGAATAATATTGCAAAATATTCACATTTCTTAAAAGCATTAAGAATAACACTGCATAATATTCACATTTCTTATTTGTGGGTTCTAGGGAATCAACATAATCTCATGAACACCAAACTTTGGAAACTTTTCGGGCCCATACCTATCTTTTCTGCATGATGAATAATAAATAAATCACTCATAAGCCGTTACACTATACACATTACTACTTCTTTTATGTGTGTGTGTGTGTGTTTGGTCTTCTTCTGGCCAGACCCCTACTCTTCATTTTTCATAAGTTATTATTTTTTAAACATCATATTGATCTCTCGATATAATATCCTTTCCAGAAAGAAAATACAAATATTGTATGGCTTTGATAACAAAATCCAAAAGAAAAAAAAAAATTAGTAAAGAGGAGATCTTCGAGAAATTCCTTTTCTCTTGAGTATTCTTATGAGTGGTCTCATTGAGAAATTACTCAATAAAACCTCCGAGTCTTCTGAAACATCAGTGAGTGATGATGTGCACGATTTTTTCTCTTCTAAGCTTCCATCTTGATTAGAGTGTTCTTTATCCAAAACACTTTGTTCCAATTTTGGAGATAAACATAACTTATGCTTTTTCGAAGGAGTTGAAATCTACAAAACAAAACAAAAACATGAATAAAACAAACCTCCTTCAATTATTTGAGCATACTCTGAACTCAAAAAAATTACTGTATTTGACTCTAAACGGAATACTGCGAATTTCACGTTTTTGAAACGTGTTTATGACGTGTATACAAACATAATGGTTCCAAATTAACTGTTTTACCAAAATTATAGTCCTATGTTAATGTCGATTACGTGTCAAAGTATTAAACGCAATTAATTATTGAAATAATTTTTATGTGTTCTTCCAAAACAAATTTATGAGTTTTAGAAAACTAAACCCGCATATTGCTTATCGTTGACAAAAAATGAAACACTTCTTAAACAATTATTTGAATATACTCTAAAACGAAAAAAAAAATCGCTGTATTTGAATGTCAAAATATATGCCTCATTTTTCTACTAAAGACTAGCTTTCTTTTAGTATTTCAAGATTATTCTGTGTAGCAGTGTTTTTTTTACCTTTGATAACTAATTATAAAAAGGTAAGAGATGGATAGTTAACAATAGACTAACAAAAAAAAAAAAATCATAGAGGAAACAAACTTTAATAAAATTGAAATTGAAATATCATGTATTACCTTGCAGGAGATAGAGCAAAATCGATTGGGGTGGTCTTGAATATATCTTTTACAAGTCACACATGAAGCTCCATTTTTGGATTTTGTTGAAGGTCTTGCATCTTTTGCTTGTGGCCTTGAATTCAAATGTATTGCCTTTTCTCCATTTATTTTATATGTCTTTTTTCCACAAATAAATTATTGCCAACCAATGCCAAAAAGCAGAACCAAAAAAATGATAACCAAATTAATTTGAATTTATAGACTCTGAAAATTCGATCAAAACAGAAATTGAAAAACTCAGGTCGTATCAAATAAAATTTGATTAGTTTTATAATGATTTTGAAATAAAAACCTGAATCTCGGAGCAGTCGAAGTAGTTTTGAATATCGAGAAGACGAAGCACATCTTGATAAACATATTTGCAGATCTGAAGACGACGATGGAGAAAATGAGCTTCTGTGTTGCAACAATGTCTGCAGATTGCGACATTACAGTCAATGCAAAAGACATTCTTCTCATTCTTGCGAAGATACTTATGATTCATACATATCCCAAAGAATTCTAAACTTAATAGTGTCTCAATCCAATCTTCATCATCAACTCTTCTCTTTTCATTCTGCAAATAAAATTTTAAAATTTAGATTTTTCTTGTGAAATTTGAAGAACCGTGGAAACTTTATTGAGATTTACAATGAATTTATAAATTGTTGAATGAAGAAAATTAAAAAAAAAATACTTTTTTTTTTTTTGTTTAATTTAAACTCTGTATAATTTTTTGAGAATATAGTGAGTTTATATATGAACTAATTTGAAACTTGAATTACAATAAATAAAAAACTTATAAATTTTGAAGGATGGAATCTGCAGAAATTTCGAACTTCAATGAAACTGAATGAAGAACTACAAATTTGAATTGAAGGGATATAAAACAAATTATATTGTTATAAGGATAAAATTCTGCAGAAATTGTTCTTTGTTTGCATGAAAAGTGAGATTTTATCCCAATGAAATCTGTATTTTTTTTCCTAACCTACTGGGATTATGATGATGAATTGATGTCGAATTAAAAACAAGGGATAAACAGAAATTAATCGAAAAATGTATAAAAGGGTGTGTACCAGATTCATTTGGCTTTGTGAAACTGAGTTCCTTCAATCGATCAGTTTCAGCAGGGTTCTTGGGAGAGAAGAAGGAGAAAGCGAAAAGCAAAAAAGAAGTGATTTAGTGTGAATAAATAGGAGAAGGCAAAGGAAATGTAAATAATAAAAAGTGATATTAGGAATGTTTCAATTAATTGTATATTGTGTTCTGCGAGAAATTATAAATTAAATAAGGAAATTATAATTAAAAAAATTATAATTCATTAAATAATGGAAAAATCAAAAGTCTAAAGAGTCAACAATAACTGTGGCTCTTTTATACCTAAAATGGATGGCAGGCGGGAATGTGAAAGATGTCTTAAGTAATATTAACTTTTAAGTTTTTAACCTTCAAAATTTATCATTTTTTCCGAATAAGCCTACATCAAATGAAATCCACTAATGATATCATTATTTTGCAAATTATAATAATTTAATTGAGTGGACACAATTTGACTTTGAGGGGCAAAAAGGTAGTCTTTATAATTTAGATGGTGCGATAAAGGTAAGCAAAGCTTCCTATATTTACTCCGAAATTTCCAAGGAAACCAGCTTATTCAATTTAGAATGATATCATTTTGCACATACACATACATAGGAATATTAGATGTCGAAGATAAACCGCTTGCAGTGCAAATAGTATATTACTATCAAAACACAATATATTATCGTACTTAACAGCAAGAATCAACAGGTTGTCAATACATAATCACCATTGTATCTTAGTGCAATTTACTCAACTTATTAGATGAACAAAAATATTGATTAGTTAGAAAGATGCTGTATTCTGTCATAGTCAAATTCAAGTTCAGCACATCCTAGCACTACACTTAAAGAAAAAAACAATCATTCAATTAAACTTCTCTTTGGTTTGACTGATAAAACGATATGTTATCTTATCTATATAAAGACAATTTTACTATATTACACTATAAAAACGATGATTTACGTTTGTAAAATTGTCACGTGTATCATCAAAAACAGTTTTACATTTAAAGAAAATTTTAATTGTTAACTTTTTTACTTATAATTTATTAATACAAAATATCCAAAATTTAAAACGGTTAAACTAAAAATTAAAAATACTAATATTAAAAATCTATAATTCAGTTACGTTTCTCTTTTGATGCAAAAGACAAAACAATTTGTTAAGATAATAAAAGGGGGAATTGCTAAAAATAGGCCACAATTTGATTCCAAATGTAAAAGTATATCTCAAATTCAACCTATTGCAAAAATAGGTCAGAGGGGTAGAGAAATTACCATTATCTCCTACATGAGTAAACAATAAAACGGATGTCTCAATTACGATTATAACCCTTCGAAGTCTGCCAATACTAATGAAGTCTGCTCAGCAGACTGATAAAGAAGTCTACTATATTATTAAATCTTATTTTTAAATTTAAAAGTTATATAAAAATAATGTAAACTGAAGTTTGTTTCTATAAATCAAATGTCAACAAGTATGATCTAGAAAAATTATAATTTAATAAATAGAATCATTTTTAACCATCTAGGATAAACATAAAAAGTGAAAAGTTTTAAACTAGGGCTGCAGACTTCTTTATCAGTCTGCTCAGCAGACTACAGATCGAAGCCTAGTCAAACCAGAATAATTAACCTAACCGGAATTTTTAACATAGTATATAAAAAAACTTACCAATCGTTACCATAAATAAAAAACCTAGATCACTGTAAAACGGCGCTGCACTCTGGTCTCTCTCGCCGCGACTCTCTCTCGCAGTAAGCCTTTCCTGGCGCTCCTCATCTCTTTTTTTCTGTTTCTGATGCATATGTTGTTTCATATATATCACTACATATATTGTTGCTGCAGATCTCAGCCGGCGTCTTCATCGTTCTTAGTTATCTCTCCAGATCTGTGAGTTATTCGCCATTACATTCTCTGTTTAGTCCGTATCTTATTGTTTACTGGTGTGTCCTTTAAAATTGTTCTTTTGTTTTTTTGTCCTTTTGCTTTACTGTTTTTTTAACAGATCTAAGTAAAAATACTTTTTTCACAGATTCCGTGAGCAAGTAAGTAAAAATATTTCGATTTTTTCTTTATTTCAAGATTTACCTTTTTTGTTATTTTGTTGTTTAGCGAGTAAGAAATATTTGTTTGGAAAGCTTGTTTTTGTTGTTTTGTTTTTAGCTGCAAAGTTATTATGTGGTCGTATCTGTTTTAGTTTTTTGTTTGTTAACTTCCAAGTTTGTTTGCTTGATCTCTACAGAGTAATGCCGATAAGCTACACCAACAGCTCACTTTCAAAGCAAGCTATGACAGCGGGTGTGCCAAAGCTGATGGAGACTTTGGGATACCTGAACGATGCTATTGCGGCCTTCGATGTAGATTGGAAGAGTCTACAGCTCCAGAGACGTTTGGCAAGAAGTTCTATAGTTGCCCTGAAATATTAGGCGAATGTGTATAGTTTTAATGAGGTTTTTCTCAATATGTGTATAGTTTTAATGTTATTCATCGAGTATAACTGAAGTTTTCGTTTGTCATATGTGTAGGATAAACCGGGTCACATCTCCAAATGGTGGGATCTAGCCATTGAAGAGCAGCTGACCATTCTTCAAATACGAATTGACAAGCAGAGCGAAAACATGTTCCGTGACAACCGAACAGCCCTTCTGCAATCATATGAGAATCGGCTGTATGCATTGGAGGATCGCCTTGCTGCAACCGAGAAGACCATTAGCGAGATCGAGGAGTTCATAGGGTTCATTCAGAGTGAAATTGCTGGAGTGAAAGAAGCACTTGCTAATCGAGGTTCTGATATCCTACTTTGTGTTTTTGGTTAACCTGCCAGAATTGTTGTTCTCTTATTTAACTGTAATGTTCCTAACTAATTTCAGTTTGTTTAGTAATATTTAGAACAATGGTGTGGTTGTATGTTTTGGAGGCTAAACGCTTGTAATAGACTAGTGTGGCTTTTGTGATAATTCACGTACTCTAAGGTTTACCCTAATCATAGCTTATTATATCGCATGTTTATGACAATAATTAAGAATGATCGTACATAGACATTAAACAGACATATTTCAGTAGTGTTTCCCTTACCTGGTGAAGCAGACTTCTTGTACAGACTACGGTAGAAGACTTCTAGTAGTAGTCTTCAGTGTAAGTCTGCTATTGTAGTTTTAGGATTTTATCTTGACTTCAACGTCTGCAAAAAAAAAAAACAGAGGAAATTAACTTCGACCCTAAACCCTTAAAGTATGAGGTAACATAACACTTACAAAATCCGGTCAAGTATGTCCTGGTTGGTGACATTTCGAACAACTGTACTGCTTGTGGATCTTACGGGGTTTCTTTTGCTTATGCCTCGAAATTTCCAGCCAAGTTTGCCATCTTGACTTCCTCTGCCTGCCTTTTTTACGTTGGACATCCGGAGGTAGACATTGTGTTGTTTCATCGGTTTTCATTGCAATGCTTGGAGGATATATATTATGCGAGTACGCTGCATACAAGTAATCTTTAGAGTATGTCGGGCATAGAAGAGTGGCCAGATGCATATGCATTGCATCTGAAACGGCTATAACATGAGTGCAAGGTGTTTTCTCAATATCATACACGCCACACCCACACTTTCGAAGTTCCAAATCAACGACACAGTTATGTGATCCTCCTTTCACATTGAATCGCCAACCATCTATGCCTTCAACCGTCAACTTATCAGCATAATGTAAACGAATTGCCAACTAATATTCAACTCCTCGAGTATGGTTGGTTGGAAGACTCAAAGCATATTCCCGCCTTTTACAAAACCACTTTGTTAGCTTCGCCCGTAAGTACTCCAACAGGAATACTATGGGAAATCCCCGTGCCTGTTTGAGAGCAGAGTTGATAGACTCTGCGATGTTGCTCGCCTTTATATTGTATCTATCACCTGGAAAGTGAACTCTTGACCACAACTGAATGCCAGCCTCCTCCAGGTGCGTTGCAAGGTCAGGTTTTATATGCCTTATCTCGTCCATATAACGGTTAAAATCATGTACCGTATATGCATACGCAACACGTTTGACTAAGTACATAAGATGGTTCCCCTTAAACTTAGTGACAATATTGTGTTGCAGATGATAATAGCAGATATCGCGTGTTACCCATGGTAATACAGTCTCACATGCCTTCTTAATGGAATGATGCCGGTCTGAAACTATCACCAATGGATACTCGTCTGTAAAACACTCCCGCAATTTTCTAAAAAACCATTCCCATGTGTGATCATTCTCAGAGTCCACTATTCCAAAAGCTAGTGGAAATATCTGGAAGTTACCATCTTGTGCTGTGGCCACTAGCAGAGTCCCTTCATACTTTCCAGTCAGATGACACCCATCGACAACAATGACCCGTCTGAGATATTGAAAACCAGCTATGGAGGCTCTGAAGGCTAAGAATAGGTACTTGAACCTATTCTGACTGTCGCGTTCAAGGGCAGTTATAGTACCCGAATTCGCTTCAGCGATCAGACGCAAATAAGAAGGCAGTCGGCTATATCCATCCTCAGGGCTTCCCCTCACACATTCTTGTGCATACATCAAAGCTCTATACGAAGTTGTGTAGTCTATTTTCAATTGAAACATCGTCTGCATTGAATCTTTGATGTGTTCTGCAGTAATCCCATCAATTATTCCCACACGCTCTATAAATAACTTTCCAATGTATCTTGGAGTCGTATGTTTTCAGTGAGCCAACCGATCTGAAACTGAACAGGTATGAGTTTTGACATATTTAGTGACCCAAAACGTCTTTGCTTCGTTCTTTACAGCTGCTCTAACTCTCCATTGGCATCCTTTAACAGCACATTTAGCAACAAACAGACGTCTTGATGACTTATCAACTCTGAATGCAAACTTCAACATAACAGCCGTCAACCTGATCTCAGAAATCAGGTCGTCTTTTGTAGCAAAACTTCCGTTTACTTTTATTTTGTCAACCCAATTTCTTTCATATACTCTTTGAGGAGCCTTCACCGGTTCTTCAATCCACTCACCCTCACCCTCTGAATCAGAATTTGAATCCTCATCCTTCACTTTCCCATATTGGCTGTAGTCCTGATCCTCAGAGTCCTGACCCTCAGAGTCAGTACTGTCTTCCTCCTTTACTGAATCGGTTTTGATGTTCTCGTTTATCTCATCATCATCATATTCATCGACATTTTCATCTTCACCTTCCTCAGTATTTTGATTCCCACCTTCAACAGAACACCCATCAGCAGCATCAACACCACCAGTACGTCCATCATTGTCCTTGCGACTAGATACACAAAGACGTATAACATGCGTCTTACTCAGCCCAATCAAGCTCTGTACTTGTCTATCATTAGTAATATGCATAGGAGGGATATCCGGAGCCATGTTTGCTAACATTGAATCTGGCAATGCATAAGTGATAGACACGCTGTCCGTATTTCCATCCAGCATGTAATCATCTAGAGCCATAGCTACGAGTTCTCCATGTGTACAACCATCATTCAAGAAGAACAACCTCCCTCCTTTGCGATTATCCACCTCAAAATGCCACGACTGAGCACTCATAACCCATTCTCCAAATACAACAGGCAACTGAGCCGCCATCTACAAAAAAGGTAAACCACACAAGATAAACCGTGTTTTCCAAGTAACATAGAGCAGACTTCTAAAGAAGTCTGCTATAATCGGCTAAACGTCTAAACATTCAAGAAAATTCATCACTTTCTAATTATAACACATATCAACGTGAAACTCACGTATATGGAACCAAGAAAGGCAGAACAACATGTCCAAACAATATATTTATTTTAGCATATACCATTAATTCGAAAACGAATTTTTTGTTAAAATAATTAGGCAGACTTCAAGTGTTGTCTGCTGTGTTATTCTCCTTCGACAGGCAGACTTCAGTGGCAGACTTCTTATGAAGTCTGCTAATATGTGCCAATTACCGTTCAAATCTACAAAAATTATAACTATTAATGTATAACACATAAGCATACAAAATTAATACAGGTAAAGGAAATATACCTTCTAAACAAGAATAAAAATTAAAAAAAAAATTTGACTAGCAGACTGTAAAAGAAGTCTACTTTCGCGAAACATAGCCCAATGTTAAAGAAAAGATTTAGATGTTTACCTCCTTCCAATTTGAACTCGATTAACTTTGACAGAAGTTCAGAATTTTTGAGATGCACGGAAAGGAAACCAGCCCAGAACTCGGTTATCCAAGAATCTCACAAAATATATGATTTGCGAATTCAAACATATCAATGTCGACTAAGAAAGAGATTTTTAGATGAAACCATATAAAAATTTGAAGATAGAATGAAGTTTGAGCGGCCAAATAAGCATTTAGAGCTTCAAGTGCAGATGAGCAAGCATTAAGAGCTTCCATTTTGGTTGGTAATGGTAGTTGGCGAAATTGAAGATGATGGCATTTTCGTGAATACTTAAAATAGCTTAGGATGGGTATGTTTTTTTCGAATTACCTAAAAAATTCGATAATTATAAATATAATGGCATTTATGTTATTATATGTGGCTTTAGGGAGAAAGTAGGGAGAAATTGGTTAATATTGAAGAGGGAGAAAAAAGAAGTTAGATTTGCATTTGACTTCAATTTTGAGGTCATATATGCAAGAAGCTCATAATAAAAATATCATTAGTTTGAATATAAGATAAAAGCAGGTAATAAAAAGCCAAAATACTAATAATTTAGACTGTGACAAAAACAAATCAAAGTAAAGTTTATCTTTAACCATTCAATTAAATTTAAACCAACGTGTTATCCTATATAAAGACAATTTTACTACATTACACTTAAAAATAATGATTTACGTTTGTAAGATTATTACGTGTACTATCAATAACAGTTTTACATTTTTTTTTAATTATTAACTGAATTATTTAAACAATATGTTTTAATTGTTTACTTAAAATTTATTAATTAAAATATATCATTTGAAATCGTTAAACTAAAAATAAAATAAAAAATCAAAGATACTACTAATGAAAAATGGGAAACAATACCAAAATCTGTATCCAACTATTCAATTAAGTTTCTCTTCAATGCAAAAAATAAACCAGTTTTTCCACTTATCTGTATGAAGACAACGTGTCTATTATTTAAGGAGAGATGATTTACGTTTCTGAGATTATCACATGTATTATCAAAAATATATTTACATTTAGAGAAAATTTAATTATTTACTAAGAATTTATTAATTAAAATATCAATAATTTGAAACGGTTAAATTAGAAATCAAAAATACTAATAATAAAATATAGGAAACAATACCTATATCCAACTATTCAGTTAAGTTTCTCTTCAATGCAAAAGATAAACCTATTTGTTAACTTATTCGTATGAAGACCATGTGTAATACTTAAAAAGAGATGATTTATGTTTGTGAGACCATCATGTGTATTATAAAAAAAATTATATTTAAGAATTTTTTAGCTATTAAATCTATAATTAAAATAAGAAATAATTGATTACTTAGAGTTTATTAATTAAAATATCTCCAAATTTGTGACATTAAAACTACAAAAAAAAGTTCAAACAAACCCAAATTTAATCCAACCATTCAGTTAAACTTTTTTTTAATTTGACCGATAGACTAATGTGTTTAGTTATAATTTTAATTCCACTTTCCAATTTATCTTTCAATATCATTAACTAAAAATATATTCTAAAGTAAACTTTTTTTTATAAACATATCAAAGGCTAAAAGACATGCCCTCGACACTTTGCAGCTACTGCCATGTTTCTGTATATAGGAGAGAAAAAAAAATTATATGGCTTCCACTTTCTTTCTTTGTTTTATGTATTATTTCAGTTTAAAAAGAAACTCAAACCCAAACTAAGAGCAGGTACATCAGTGGTTTAAGCTGAGTATCAAGCCCAATATCCAAGAAGAAATCGACCAAAAAAAAAAGAAAAATAGCCCAATTTTAATGAGCCCGTATCGTCCAGACGAGCCTGGTGATACCGGATCGTCGGTGACGTGGCGAGACGTGGTTGGCTGGAAAAAAGAGAACAATTTCGGGGCAAAAAAAAAATCAACCCATTTTCATTTCTCGTTTTTCTCTTCTTCTCCTCGAAAACCCTAGGCGATCTGGAGGCGATTTCGTGGTCGGCGGCGATGCCGCGAAAACTATCGGTGAAAAGGTCTTCCCATCGTCGTCCATCCATACGTAGCATCCAGGTTAGTCTTCATCGTCCTTTTCGTGGTTGATTTGAAATCGAATCGTCAATTTTTAGGGTTTGCGATTTGGGGAAAAAATTTTAGGATTGTTTTTGGGGAATTTTTTTGGGGAAATTTGATGAGATTGTTTGTGTCTACTTGTGGTTTGTATGTTTCGTTGTGTACGAATTGAAATTGTTGTGAATTTGGTTTCGAATGTATTCGATGAAATTAGGGTTTCGAATTTGGGGAAAAATTTTGGGGGTTTTTATCGGGGTTAAAATTGGGGCTTACGGTTCCAGTATTACATACGTTGGTCTATTTTGAATCTAATTGCGAGTGATTGTCGATTGAGTAATTTCATTTTGGATCAAATTAGGGTTTTCCATTTGGGAGATTTTCAAAAATGGGGATAATTTGGGGGGTTTTTATCTGGATATGCTGATGACGATGATGATGAAATGTAGATGATTACTCGATAATTGTGGTCGTTGTTTAGTTGCCATATTGAAATGATGATTATGATGTTGATAATGCTCACTATCTTTTATTTTTTTGTGAGGGTATTTGATGGAGCATCGGTTAATGCTTTGGGGCTATTTGATGGAGCATCGGCTACATGCTTATGGTGTCTCCGAATACAGGTCAGTAAGTAACTCTACTTTCATAAAAATGTCTCGTTTGGTTTAGATCTCTGGTTTGTTTGAATGGTTTAGTTGATTTGTATTGTTACCTGTTTAGGTTGCTAGTTTTGTTGTTGGTCGGTTATGTGTCGTGAAAAAGGTTTGCTTTGTATTTAGGTAGTTCGTTTGGTTTAGTATCGTTTAGGTGAAATGATGAATGGATCTTCAATTGATATGACTTGTTAGGTGTGATAAATGCCACTTAAAAGACTAAACTAAAAAACTTTAAAGCAAACATCTTTCAATCATAAATTTTAGGAGACTTAAAGACTCAACCATAATTCTTAACAGCCTTAAAGACAAACCTTAAAAGACTTTAAATTCTCAACCATAAAATACTCTTCTTCCTGTTTCTATAAACCCGTTTTAGTAAGTGCTTCTTTACGTAAAGACTCTTCTTTCATCTTCCATATTTCTTCTTTCTTTTTCCATATTCCTTGGTTCATCTTCCATATTTCTTCTTTCATTTTCCATATTTCTTCTTTCATCTTCCATATTCCTTGTTTCATCTTCCATATTCCTTGTTTCATCTTCCATCTTTCTTCTTTCAAATTCCATCTTTCTTTTTTCAACTTCATGGATTCTCAAAACGCTTTCTCTCAGTCTGAAGGATTCGTTAACCTTCTAACTAGTCAGATACCTCCTGACAATTACTCGCCTTGTACTGAACTTGGATCATCAGACTTTCCTGTGTTTAGTACACAAGGATCTGATGAACCTACGGTTACTACAGCCAGAAAGCAATGGACTCCGAAGGAAGACCTCGTCCTCATAAGCGCATGGCTCAATACGAGCAAGGATCCTATTGTGGGGAACGAACAACGGGCTGGTGCATTCTGGCAGAGGATTGAAGTCTATTATAATGGAAGTGATGACCTGATCGGACTACCAAGACGAGGCCAGTCTCAGTGTAAGCAGCGATGGGGTCGTCTCAACGACCAGGTCTGCAAATTCGTTGGTGCGTACGAGGCTGCACAAAAGCAGAGGACAAGCGGCCAAAACGAAAACGACGTCATGAAGGCAGCCCATGAGATATTCTTCAATGATTATCTCATCAAGTTCACCCTCGAGCATGCATGGAGGGAGCTCAGGCATGACCAGAAATGGTGCAGCAGCTTCAATCCTGCTTCCAAGGATGGTGAGAAGGCCAAAAGAAGAAAAGTTGAAGACTCGGCTAACTCCTCCAGCTCGGTTCATGAAAGAGTTGCCGATGATGTCTTCGTTGAGGCTCGGCCACCTGGTGTCAAGGCGTCCAAGGCGAAAGCAAAAAAGACAACCGGAGGGAAGGAGGTGAAGGACTTCGCAAGTTTGTGGGAAATCAAACAACGAGACTTGGAACTGAAAGACAAGATAACTGACAAAAGAGTTCTTGAAAGACTCTTAGCTAAAACAGGGCCACTCAATGAGAATGAAATACTTCTTAAAAACAAGATAATTAATGATTTGCTTAAGTGATGTATGAACTTTTTTTTAAAGTTGGTACTTTGGTACTTTGTTAAATGTCTCTCTTTATCACTTGTCTCTCTTGTTTACTTTGTTAAAGTTTATGAAATTTCAATATATTTATCACTTGTCTCTCTTTACCATTTAGTGCATCGCCTTGTTTCAATATAGTTAGTGCATGTCCTTGGTTCACTTGTCAACTGAATCATTTGCTCATCTGAATCACTTGTCAACTTGCTGATGTATCTTTTTGGTTTTGCAGGGTACTCACGGGAAAGCACTTGTCCACTAGATGGATGTGTCCAAGACCTGGGTCCATGTCGTTTTTGTTGTTTTCTCTGCTACACCATTCATTTTTCTAGTGTAATGTACACCTAGTGTTAGTGATGTCTTTGTAAGCCACATATTCTTCTTTTCTTTGTTCTATAAATGTAATGTGTGCGATGAACATATATTCATTCTCAGTTGATATCTTTGTTGTTATTTCTTTTACAGACTTTTCTCTCAAACGTTTCTTTACCCAAAAAACTTGTATCTCTTTTACAAAGATTTCTCCATCTCTTTTACAAACATTTCTTAAAATTGTATCTCTTTAACAAAATTCCATCTCTTTTACAAACCTTTCTCCATCTCCTTTCTCCATCTCCTTTTAAAAAATTGTATGGCATCATCATCAAATAATGGGCCATATGATGGGCCATATGATGATTCAATCGATGATGTTTTTGATGATTCCGATGATGATTTACTTGATCAACAATTTGATCAAATGTTTTATGCAGCACTTGATAGTCTTGAAAGAAAAAAAAAACAAAAAAAAGAGAGCATATATTGAAAGAGAGCGGGAACAAGGGCATCACCGGCTTTGGAACGACTACTTTAGTGATGATGCAATCTATCCGTCAAATCTATTCCGTCGCCGGTTTAGAATGAACAAGGAGTTGTTCCTTCGTATAGTTGACCGCCTCTCCACTGAGATTCCATATTTTCAGCAAAGAAGAAATGCTGCCGGGAGATTTGGTCTATCTGGCCTTTAGAAGTGTACTGCAGCTATTCGTATGATGGCTTATGGTACGGCAGCTGATGCGGTTGACGAATATCTCCGGCTAGGTGCTAGTACGGCTTTGTTATGCTTGGAAAATTTCACGGAGGGAATAATAAACTTGTTCGGGGATGAGTACCTCAGAAAACCCACACCACACGATCTCCAACAACTTCTCGATATTGGAGAGTCACGGGGTTTTCCCGGAATGATAGGCAGCATCGACTGTATGCACTGGGAGTGGAAAAATTGTCCAACCGCATGGAAAAGACAATACACACGTGGTTCCGGCAAACCGACAATCGTCTTAGAGACAGTAGCTTCATATGACTTGTGGATATGGCATGCTTTTTTGGACCTCCAGGTACGTTAAATGATATTAACGTTCTTGATCGTTCTCCAGTCTTCGATGATATTTTGCATGGTCGAGCACCAAAAGTGCGATATTGGATAAACGGTCACCAATATAGTTTGCCGTACTATCTGACCGACGGTATATATCCAAAATGGGCTACATTTATACAATCAATTCACCTTCCTCAAGGAGCCAAAGACACGTTTTTTGCAACAACTCAAGAATCTGTCCGAAAAGATGTGGAGCGTGCATTTGGAGTTTTACAAGCTAGATTTGCAATAATTAAAAACCCGGCTCTTTTTTGGGATAAAGAGAAAATTGGGAAAATTATGCGGGCATCTATCATATTACACAATATGATAGTTGAAAATGAACGAGATTCTCGCAGTCAATTCAATTTGGAAGAATTCCAACAAGGTGAAGGAAGCAGAAATTCGCATGTCGATATGACGTATACTTCAAATAATCGTTCAAATGTCAGAAATTTGATGATGGCGAAACGAAATGAAGTCCGTAGCAGACAGGTGCATGATCAGTTAAAAGCGGATTTAATCGAAAATCTATGGAATAAATTTGGTTCTTCTTAAATGTCCAATTATGGTTATAGATTTTATGTATTTTATCTTTTTCATGTTTTTTTAAAGTACTTGTAATAAATTGTATGCTTCTTTTAAATTAATTCTATGTTTAATTTTTTCAAATTCAAAAATTAAAAAAAAAATATTATTATATTTGGGATGAACCCCATTATCAGGTTCACTGATGAAACCCGAAAAAAAACACAGATTCATCCCATAACCAAAAACCTAAAAAAATTAGTATTTTAATCTAATGATACTCACTAAGAGTATCACTAATAGCATGTACACATGCTCTAATATAAGGTTTTAGATTGGATTGTCCAACCCAAATTGACCTACGGCTAAAACCCGAACATCGATGTCTAATCGATGTCTAATCTAGTTTTACGTAAATTTTTTTATATAAGATAGAGAAAGTAAAGTGTTTTAAAATTTATTACTTAGTTCTGACCAAAAAATAATAATCAAAATATTGTTTTGTTCAGCTTTTGTGGATAAGGAGTCGGATTTTTAAAATTTTAGTTACTCTTAGTACTTGGTTTTCTGATCCAAAATAATATTGATTTTTTTTTTCAACTTGAATACAAAGTTCTGTTCCGAGTTCAGTAAATAAAAGTTTGAAAAAGCATCGTAATAGGAAGAGAGAGTTTCATATCTGAGAATCTGAGACCTCTCAAAAGATCGTTTATATTTGCATAAACACTACAACTTAGATAACATACTAACCAAAAGCTTGCAGGAAAAATCAATAACAAGTCACACGTAAAAAACTTCAGAGAAAAATAAAGAAAGAACAAAAAGAGAAAAGAGAAATTTCTTCACACATTATACTTCATCTTCTTCTACTTATTAAAAAGTTTCAACGAAATCTGAAAACGCAAGACTTTTATTTCTTCAACGTCCATCCACAGAAGTAAACGAATCAGCAAATCCAGAAGGGCGAGTTGGGATACTTGTCTGTGTATTGTCTTTGCTTCCATAAGCCGAAGACGAAGATCCAGAGTCATCAGCAGTTTGGCTAAGTCCCTCAGAAGCTTGCCATTTCTTAACAGCCTGCGGAAGCGGAATATCATAGTCTATGCCGTAGAGGTCATCAGGATCGGTCTCGGTTGGTTTCCATTGGACGGTGAGTGAAGAAAGGACGTTAACGATGTGAGCCATGTCAGGTCTTTGGTAAGGCTCACGTGCACAGCAATGACCAGCAAGCTCCCACACTTTTTCGACACTGGCTAAGGTATCTTCATCGAGATTGATGTTTGGGTCTACTGCGTTTTTGAAGGCATTTTCGTCTTTGTCTTTGCTGGCTGCTATCCGACGGAACCATGTGACTAGATGGACACTGTCCTCAGGTTGCGTCTCATCTAGGGCTTTACGACCAGTGATTAGCTCCATAAGTATGACCCCGAGGCTGAAAATGTCAACTTTCGTCGTCACTCTTCCCGTCACTGCCAGAATCAAACCAGATAACAGTTGCAAAACAATTAAAAGCATAAAACTTTAACATTTGGGCTAAGTGCAAATCAATAAAAGCATAAAACATAAAGAAATGGCAAACCTGCATATTCTGGGGCAAGGTATCCGAAGGTACCAGCAACTCGAGTCTCGATGGAGTATTTGCCATCAGGAGCTAAACGGACTAATCCAAAGTCAGAGACTTTAGCGCGCATATCATCACCAAGGAGGATGTTTGATGGCTTTAGATCCCTGTGAATGAAGCTCTGATGCGCAAGCGTGTGCAGATACTCGACACCTCGAGCTACATCCAAAGCAATCGCCAACCTTCTAGTCCATTCCAACGGTTTTCTCCCTTCTTCTTTCCAATGGAACAAATGCTGGCTCAGTGTTCCCTGTGGCATGTACTCATAGACAAGAAGCCTCTCGCTACCATCAAGGCAATACCCAAGAAGCGCAACGAGATGACGATGACGCATTTTGGTCAAAACAGTGATCTCAGATTTAAACTCAGCAAGTCCTTTATCACTTACAACCGAGGACTCCATTCTCTTCACAGCTATTTTGGTTCCATCATGGAGTTCGCCTTTGTAAACTGTCCCGAAACCGCCTCTCCCAAGGATATTCTCTTCGCTAAAGTTGTTTGTCACATTCCTCAAAACCTGTATCGATATAACCAAGTTCCCAGACTCCACAACGTGAATGTCACTCGCCGCACTTCCACTGTGACTGTAACCGCTCTCGCTTCCTCCGCCATTGTTAAGACTAGAAGCTGCAACAGTGAGTTTAATGGCATCGTTGTCACCCGAGTGATGCGGATGAATAACCATGTTGCTTGTTGGACTCTGAACTCTAGTGGGTCGCTTTCTTTTCTTTGCATAGAGACACACAACGAGCCCGACCAGACACAATGCACCAACTACACCGCCAACCACAGGACCAATAATCTTGACACTGCTTGATTTCTTAGGACTTCCACTGCTTCCACTTCCTCCAGGCTCTTTCCCTGAAGTTCCAGGAGATCCAGTCGGCGAACTAGGTCCTTCCTTTCCGATGTTAGTGTTTCCTTCAGTCACCACGCTCACACTACTCGGAAACTTTGGCAGAGCTCCGTATATATTGTTGTTAGACACATCTAGTGTCTTAAGCTTAGGCAATTTGGTAAGCTCGGTCGGTATACTCCCAGTGAGCTCGTTATCAGAAAGATTGATGGTCTCCAATGAAGTAAGGTTCGCTAAAAACGGAGATATCGTCCCCGAGAGATCTTGTTTCCTGAAGTTAACCACTGTAATGTTACCTCCCGCACAAGTAATCCCAGCCCAGTTTACACACGGATCGTTTCCTTTCCAAGCCCTCGCGAACTTCAATGGATATCCTAAAGCTTCAGCTACAGAAAGCAAAGTATCTACACGAGGATCACACGGAGCACCAGCTTTATCCTGACAAAAACTATTTGTATTGGTGTATATATCTACGGCAACAGATTTGCCAAATGCTGGGGTCGGTCCTTGAAGCTCATTGTTGGTTAGATTTACAACAGTAAGCGATTTGAGGAGAGTCAAAGACTGTGGAACTACACCAGTGAGATCATTCTCTCTTACATTGAACACGCGGAGAGATTGTAAACCAGAGAGATCAGGGATTGGACCTGAGAAAGAGTTTGCTTGCAGAGAAACTTCAACGAGCGAAGTCATGTTCCTCAATACCGAGATTGACCCGTTTAGTTTTGTCTCGCCCAATTGACCGTTCAAATAGAGAGTTTGCAGTGAAGAGCCTCCTAAGGTCGCCGGTAACTCGCCGTGAAGAAAATTCTGAGATAGTTTCAGATTCGTCAAGCTTGGGAGTGTGTGAGAGCCGAAGAAATCAGGGATTGTCCCTGTTATGTTGCAATTGGAGAGAGTGAGATTCTGCAGAGACGTTGCTTCTTTGATAGACTCAGGAATCTGCCAAGGAGAAAACGGATTGTCCTCGAGAAACGCTTCTTGGAGCGAAGTCATGCCGGAGAAGAGATTTTTTGGTACTGAATCGAAAAGATTGCCATGTAAATTCAGCTTCTGCAGACGAGTGAGACCCGATAAATCAGGAATCGGACCGGAAAGTTGATTGAGAAAGAGCTCGAGAACAGTCAATTCTGAGAGATTCTGGATATCGGGAGGAAGAATTCCACGAATCCCTTTCTGCTTAAGCTGAATCCTCGTAACCCGATTACTCCCATCGCATTGAACAGTTTCCCATTTACAAGGATTAGAGTTAGACCAATCGACATCTGATGTGAGATTCAGACTTGATTTGAGAGCTTGCATAATCGGATCATCGACACCGGCCTGCACAATAGGGAAATTAGCAAAACCCACTAAAGAGACTAAGTAACAGAGAAAACCCAGATGGAATTTCGTCATATTGTCGGTGGAATTCGGCGAGAATCCGCGATATTAGGCTACGCCAGTCAACTTAGACTTAGGCGGAAAACGGATTTTATACCGCCGAAAACCGATTTCTTGTAAAATCGGAGATGTTATAAAAATCGAGCCCAATAACAGGCCCAGCTGTGAAGTGAATCGTTCACGGTATACGATGTAAGCCCACAACTTGGGTGAGATAAATGTACAAGAAAAAAATTTGAAGACTCTTATTTATAGTGCAGCTTCCCTTCTCAAATATCCAAGTTTGAGCGATGTGGGACAAACCAAAAACCACAATGTTTTCTAAAACTCATCAACCACACTTATTTTAGAGTTTATAATTTTAATGTTAGTAGCTAGGTTTAGAATTTTGAGTTTACAGTAGCTTAAGAGTGTAGGATTTAACTTTGACTTATGGTTTAGTTCTTATTAAGGTTTAGTTTCAGCCTACTATATTAGTTTTTTTATTAAAATAATATGAAATATTTTGTTAATTTAGGTATAAATATGGCATTTTGAAAAATAAAAATCCTAATTTTTAATTGTCATCATAAAAGTAATTACAAAAAATTACACGAACGTAACGATGTATATATATCATTAAAAACCAACGGCTAACCAAAAACTGATTCGGTACAAACGGGACTCCGATGCAATTACTATCAACATTGATTCAACACTAAACCATCTACTTCACAACATACTGGTCAAAACCAAACTCTCAAAATCTCTGGATTTTGTAATAAACTATATGTACACGAGCCAAATTGCATATATTTGTCTCAATCAGCAGAATCCACCGTTACATTTTCCGGCTGCAGAGAAAAAAACAAGAAGACAAAAACGCCTCATCTGATAAATAGAGAAAAAGCTGCTTACTCAATCTTTTGTTCATTTCTGCTGGTTCATGATGATGAATCTGAGATTATTGGGTTAGCTTTGAATGATTTGGCAACAGACTTGTAAAGATTCTCTTCTTCAAATGGTTTAGAGACGTAACCATCCATTCCACTTTTCAAACATTCCTCGTAGGTCGCGTGGATCACATCTGCAGTCATGGCTAATATCGGTAAATGCCATTCAAGCTTCGTCTTCTCTTTAGCTTCCTCCTCCATATCCCTTATCTGACGAGTTGCTTCAAACCTGAACCACAATCAATCAATCAACATCTCTGACTCAACCGAATTAAACCGGGACTTGAAACAAGCAGAATGTTTTCTACTTACCCGTCCATCTGTGGCATTTGAATATCCATGAAACAAGCATCGAAACTGTGAGGAATCTGAAGCAAACTCAAAGCAACTTGACCACTCTCTGCACAAACCACTTCTGCTCCAAATTTCTTTAGAGCTCCTGCAGCTACTCTCCGGTTAACTATATTATCATCAACCACAAGGATCTTCTTCCCTGTGAGCAAGCTCTTAAGCGTTTCGGGAGATGATCCTTCCGGATGCTGTTGTCTCGTCTTCCTCAGCTCAAGAACTTGCTGTAAACACGCGCCGATCATGCTCGCTCTCAACGGTTTCATTATCACCGTATCTGCAAACCCTGCGGATTTAGCTCTGTCGAATTCTGCGTTTGTGATGTTTGTTGCGAAAAGAGCGAGTTTTGGAGACTTGTGATGAACGTTCCCGTTGGTTCTTGGATTCAATAAACGCATCTCTGAGTCGTTATCTTCCGTTGAAATCCATGAATCTTTCTCTACTAAGATCATATCTAGTTGCGGTTTCGTTGTTCTGCAAAAGCCAAAAACAAGTTATTTCCATGGAAGTAAAACAAAAATAAAAGAAAAGATCGAAGCTTTCGATGTTTTTATGTACCCGGAAGGGAGAGGAGAACCGTTTCTTCCAAACGCAGTAACCACAGAAACTGCGGTTTTGAGACTTGTCACAACATCGACATTGATTCCAAGTCTTTTCATATGGTATCTAGTCACAGCGGCTCTAACGGGCTTAGCATCAACAACTATAGCTCTCATTCCTCTAAAAGTAGAAGGCAGATTCTCCACATTTGGTTTCTTCAAATGGTTAATCGCACTGCATTTATCGCATTTCTCTAAAACAGCGGTGAACCAGAACGTGCTTCCGATGTGAGGCCGGCTTATGAAACTTATCTGACCGCGCATAAGCTCCACAAGACATTTGCTTATACTCAAACCAATCCCTGTACCTCCATAGGTTCTTGAAGTCGAGCTATCTGCTTGCATAAACGGCATAAAAACCCTGCCTTGTGCAGCTAAAGGGATTCCGATACCTGTGTCTTCAATCGAAACCATGAGCCTAACGTTATTGGAAACATCGAATTCAGATAACAACTCCTCCTCGGAGACCAAATGCTTGAATGAATCCCAGCTGTTTCGACCATCAGCTGCTTCGTAACCACTCAATGTGTTGTAACTCGATGGTTTCGAGGCAACGATAAGTTCTTCAGATACTCCTCCGTTCAATGCCGGTTTCGGTTCAGCTCCATCTTTTGATTGTTCCGCAAGATGGACTTTGACAAAGATGTGTCCTTTCTCTGTGAACTATCCAAAAGACAACATCTTGATCAAACAAGAATCTCGGGTTCGACAGGAAAATATCAAAAGCTGGAAAATAGAACTTACTTTAACGGAATTTCCGACAAGATTTATGATTATCTGTCTGAATCTCCCTGAATCTCCTTTGACTATCTCCGGTACTTTGTCTGAAACGAATACCGCAAGCTGCCAAATTCGTCGGAATAAAATAAAATCAGTAGGCAACAACTCCAAAAAGACTAATCTTTATACCACCTCAGATCGAAAAACTTACCTCAATGCCTTTGTTCCTCGATTCCTCAGAGAAAAGAGAAAGGACATCATCTAATATTGAACGGATATCGAAAGGTACAGATTCCAATTCCAGCTTGCCAGCTTCAATCTTGGCACGATCAAGAACCTCATTTATCAATGCAATCAATGCTTTACCACAAACTTGTGCGGTTTGAGCGTAATCTCTCTGCGTCGAGCTAAGTTCTGTATCTAGAAGCATAGCAAGCATTCCTGCATAAAAATGAATAAATGCAGTGAGACGAATTGAGAAACCAAAGATCAGGAGGAAAAGTACCTCAAACGTTTCAGAAGGGGTATAATACCAAGAATGCCATTCATTGGTGTCCTAATCTCGTGAGACACGGTTGCAAGAAACTGCGACTTAGCAACATCAGCAGCTTCTGCTCGGCCCTTAAGCTCTTGCATTTCATGGAAATCATCCTCCACTTTTACAATGTGCACAGCGGCACCATACAGTATATAACCCACCAAGAATCCAATCGCAAAGAACAATGGCACAGTCGTGAGAACATTCAATGGTATTGGTGCCTTTTGGTGGTACCTGCATTGCGTAAACGATTAGCTAAGAACTCAATTTTGTGATCTCTAAAAGTATTTTGGCCTAAAAATGTTATTTGTGGTCACCTGCAAATCATCTTATGTTTCCTGAAGGGGTCACCGAAATCGAGTTTGCTTTCGTGAGAGAGAGATGTGTCGCCTTCTTCGTCTTGATTGCCATACATGACAAGTGGATCTGATGCATTGGTAATATCATACACATGCACTACTATTGCTTGGTTACCGGCTAGCTGACTGAGTAAATTCTCAACAAGAGATTCTACATCAAACGCGCCACCAAGGTACCTGCATTAAAAACATTCAAGCATCAATCTTTTTACATGATCACACACATATAAACCAACCTTTAAATCTCCAAAAGCTCTGTTCTTTACATGATCACACGCATAAATAAAACCTATCCTGAAATCTGAAAGGCATTTACTTTACTAAATGGGGATTTGAGAACTTTACCCTGCAGTAGCTGCAATACGCTCTTGGACCGTGGGGTTTTCAGGAAGAGAAGATTTATAGACAGGGAAAGTCAACACAACTCCGAGATGGTGAGAAGCCAACAACCTAAAAGGGCTTGTCAAGACAGCTTTTCCGGTTTCTCTTGCCCGCAAAATATTCTCTCGATCCTCCTGCAAAAGGAGCAAAAATTTCAGAAGTTGTGCTACTGATGGCTATGGAACCAAGATATCGAAACGAGAAGTATCAAATGTAAGGCTACCTCGCCTGACATCATATCGAGTGACTCGAGGTAAGAGACACTATCTTGAGAGAATATGACAGGAGCATACTCGTCCCTAACTGGTGAAGGCTCTTCTCTGTCCATTGTCTTTATAACCCAATTATGCTGACGCTCGAACATCTCCCTCTCAAAATTCTCAACTTTTTCGGCGTAAGCCACTCCACTTAGTAGCGGTCTCTCAAATGCTGTTCTTGCCGTGTATTCCGCAAACGTTGCCTGCAAAATTTTGCCACAAACACACAGAACAAAGATTTTAATTTTTTTATATCTTTAGTAATTTTAATCCCAATCAAAGCTAAGAGCCAAAATTTCCCTTCATTTACTCATTAACCAAACATAAAGGAGGGAAATTTCAAAAACTTCTGGTTCCCCAAAAAAGTTAAGTTTTCAATTATGAATCAAAGCAACTCGAAAGATGACCAAATCTCAAAAATTTCCCCTCAAAGCTTTGAGATTGAATAAGCCACACACTGACCTGATCGATTGCAGATGGGTTCTTGTGGTAGTGAAAAGTGGAGACAAGAATTGCCAAAGCGTGAACATGGTTAACACTAACACTAAATTGATCCTGCAACATTCTCGCTCTCTGATCACACATGCTGACCAAAACCTCTTCTCTTCTAATCTTGTTAGTATCATCCATCCACTGGTAAATCCCTCTGCTTAAAAACCCAACAATGATGATCCACAGAATCAGAGCTTTTGGTAGCAATGCTCGATGTGCTTGTATGAAAGTTGACCCCTTTTTATTACCCATTTGATCATTACTATTGTTCATCTTCACCGCCACTGAATGCTGAAGCTGTTGTTGCTGCTGCATCTTGGCAAAACCCATTAACCCAGAACGCCAAAAATCGACTTTCCTGGGCTTTTCCGTCGAATTTAGAACACCCAATTGGTAAAAATCGCTGCTTTTCACTGTCGAATCAGATATCTCGGTTATTCGTGGCTCCTTTTCTTCTGGGTTTTCTACTTCTTGATGATGATGATGATTGTTGAGTGCCCAGTTCATATCTGAGCTACAACAATGGAGAAAACGAATGTTAGTGTGCCTTGTGCATTCTTATACATATAAATAAGCATGC